TACGTTTGACTGACATCGCATGGCTTTTCATACCGGCTTGTGCTGCTCCGTGGGCCAATGCGCAGGCGCTTGCTCCGTCGCGTGCATAATGCAAGTACATAACGAATATTATGTACGGCTTGGCCGTCCGTATATAAAGTACCACTTTATGTGTCTAAAAACCGTGGAAAAAGTGGCGTTTTATAGTTGGAAGTAGAAAAAAAATGTATTAAATATTTTATTTATTTTAGCATTATTTTGTTGATTTGGGGTTGTTTAAAATCATCCTGGGTGTAATATTTCGCATTGAATTTTATTTTTGCACCTGTTTAATTTGGATTTTACTTACTATGTTCATGACGTATAAAATATATTTGGAATTTAATTGTGATATGATATTGGAATCTATGAAAAAACTGAAATTTGAAAAAAATTTGAGTAATCGTCATCAATATTTTGCCACTATTATAAAACATCATCTTTATATTTCTCAGTAAGTATTATTTTATAGAATTTAAATAGTTTAATTTATTATTTTTTAGATTTTGGAAAAAATTATGTGAATCCATAAAACAGATCTTACTAGCAATGACGATCCTTGGATCAATTGGCTATTCACTCATATTTATAACATTTTTAATTGTAAGTAAATCTGTAAGTTAATCTAATAATTAAACAAATAGTTATAATATTTTTTCTAGGAATTTAATATTATAGTTTGTGTTGTCTCCATTATATACATAACAATGGGACTTTCAGCTTGCATTCTGTCCTCTCAAGTCGAAGATATTGTAAATATTTTTCATTACTTCATTCTTGACAACTTATATTATGTGTCTTGTAGAGTATTCAAATACATAATGCAACTTTTAATGAGATTCCTTGGAATGGCGATGTTGCAATTGCCAAAAAAATTCTATTTATGAATATGCGTACCAGAAATCATTTTGTAATACCTGTTGGAAATTTCTCAGTGGTTTCCAGTGAATTTTTGATAAAGGCATAATGATTTACTACCACGTAAAAAATAAATCTAATTGTAAATATTTTCAGGTGTTAAAATTAACGTATTCTATATTCATGATGTACTTTAACACGATTAATGAGTCAAAATAAGCTATGTATAATAATTAAGTTCCGAGAAAATACCCTGGATTTGCTTTATAACTATCAAAACATCAAAAAAGTTACAGAAAAAGAAAACGCGGATATGTTTATGTCGATTGACATTAATCGCATATCGTGTAATAAATTATTGCTAAATCAACGTTAATATTCGTTTATCTATCACCTTGTGTAGATAATATATTATATAGTAACGATAATATAAAAATCAATTTTATTTCACATGAATTCATGTCATATCAGTTTTCTTGCAAAATGGATTGGATCAACAATTACATTCGTGCTGACCGAATTGTCTGTACTCACAAAATATTGCAAATTGAAGATGTTGCAATTGCGCCTTTTATTCTTCGCAATTTCTTTTTATCAAAGAATAAACGAGTTGTATTTCTGCAGTTCTGCATGTTTTATATCAACCCTCTTATCCTGACGATTGGCATGATAGGACACGGCTATAAATTGATAAGTAAGAAAATAAGTAAGAATCTCAACATCAAAATTATTTCTAATACTTTTTACAATTGCAGTAATTGATGAATTAAAATTTCAAGAATACGTAATGCATTTGACATTTTTTACAGTTCTAATTACTGGAATAGTGTTTGTCATGCATATCGAACGTAAAAAACAGCAATTATTAGCTCTAATAGAGTTTGCAAATAATACAGAGTTTGTAAATCCAAGGGATTTTCGTCTACGCAAATCATTTCTATTACTCAATCAACTTCTGGTTGTTGTAGTAGCAATATTAATCTGTTATTCAGTGGTAGATATAATGGCAGCGCCATTTTTTCCTTCACCTTTTTTTCCCTTTGTAAGTTATATAAAAACGTAATATCAATAATAGGTAATACAAATATTATATATTTTATTTATTTCAGTATTATTTTTTTGATTTAGGCTCAATTAAAATAATCCTTAATGTAATATTTCATATGGTATTTGATTTCGGAGTTTTAGTGATTTGGATTTTGCTTTGTCTATTTGTGACGTGCGAAAGATATTTGAAATTCAATTGTGATATTATTTTGGAATCAATGAAGAATCTAAAATTCAAAAAAAATTTTAAAGTTCGCCATCAATATTTTGCTAAAATTATAAAACATCATCTTTTGATTTCTCGGTAATATTTTGAATAATAATATAAAAAGATTAATTTATTTTTTTTTAGGTTCTGGTATGAATTACATAAATCTATAAAAAATACCTTACTAACAATAGTAATCTTTGGATCAATTGGCTATTCACTCATATTTATAACATTATTAATGGTGAGTTATTCACATATCTGGTAATTAAACAGATAATTAATATACTTTTTTAGGAATTCAATATTATAATATTTGTTGTCTCTATTTTGTATATGGCAATAGGATTTGCAGCTGGCATTCTGTCATCTCAACTCGTAGATATTGTAAATAATTTACAGACATCATTCTCAACAACTAAAACTTGTGTCTTGTAGAGTACTCAAATACATAATGCAACTTTTAATGAAATTCCATGGGATGGCGACGTTGCAATTGCTAAAAAAATGTTATTTATGAATTTGCGCACCAGAATACATTTTGTAATACCTGTTGGAAATTTCACAGTGATTTCCAATGAATTTTTGATAAAGGCATAATAATTTATAATTACATAAAAATAAATTTAATTGTGAATATTTTCAGGTGTTTAAATTAACGTATTCTATATTCATGATGTACTTGAACACGATTAATGAGTCAAAATAAGCTATGTATAATAATTAAGTTCTGAGAAAATACCCTGGATTTGTTTCGTAACTATCATAACATCAAAAAAGTTACAGAAAACGAAAACCCGGATATGCTTATTGACGATTTATCGATTGACATGTAATAAATTATTGCTAGATCAACGTTAATATTTGTTGGTCTATCACCTTGTGCAGATAATATATAATATAGTAATGATAATATGAAAATCAATTTTATTTCACATGAGTCCAAGTCATATCAGTTTTCTTGCAAAATGGATTGGATCAACAACTACATTCGTCCTAACCGAATTGTCTGTACTCACAAAAGATTGCTAATTGAAGATGTTGCAATTGCGGCTTTTATTCTTCGCAATTTCTTTTTATCAAAGAATAAACGAGTTGTACTTCTGCTGTTCTGTATGTATTATATATTCCCTCTTATCCTGACGGTCGGTATGATAGGACACTGCTATAAATTGATAAGTAAGAAAATAATCTCAATATTAAAATTATTTCTAACACTTTTTACAATTGCAGTAATTGATAAATTGATATTTCAAGAATACGTAATGCATTTGACATTTTTTACAGTTCTAATTACTGGATTAGTGTTTTTCATGCATATCGAACGTAAAAAACAGGAATTATTAGCTCTAATAGAGTTTGCAAATAATACAGAGTTTGTAAATCCAAGGGATTTTCGTCTGCGCAAATCATTTCTATTACTCAATCAACTTCTGGTTGTGGTAGTAGCAATATTATTATGTTATTCAGTGGTAGATATAATGGCAGCGCCATTTCTTCCTTCAACATTTTTTCCTTTTGTAAGTAGTATGCATACATAGATGCATTAATACTAATTAAAATAAATAATATATATTTTACCTATTTTAGTATTACTTTGTTGATTTAGGCTCATTTAAAATAATCCTTAATGTAATATTTCACATGGTATTTGATTTCGGAGTTTTGGTGATTTGGATTTTGCTTTGTCTATTTATGACGTGTGAAAGATATTTGAAATTCAATTGTGATATTATTTTGGAATCAATGAAGAATCTGAAATTCAAAAAAAATTTTAAAGTTCGCCATCAATATTTTGCTAATATTATAAAACATCATGTTTTGATTTCTCGGTAACTATTTTGAATAATAATAAAAAAAAGTTAAACTAAATTAATCTTTTTTAATTAAATTATTCTTTTAAAATTAAATAATTTTTTTTTAATTTAATTTAATTTTTAGGTTCTGGCATGAATTACATAAATCTTTAAAAAATACCTTGCTAACAATTGTAATACTTGGATCAATTGGCTATTCACTCATATTTATAACATTATTAATAGTGAGTTATTCACATATCTGGTAATTAAACAGATTATTAATATACTTTTTTAGGAATTCAATATTATAATATTTGTTGTCTCTATTTTGTATATGGCAATGGCATTTGCAGCTTGCATTCTGTCATCGCAACTCGTAGATATTGTAAATAGTTTACAGACATAATTCTCAACAACTAAAACTTGTGTTTTGTAGAGTATTCAAATACATAATGCAACTTTTAATGAGATTCCATGGGATGGCGACGTTGCAATTGCTAAAAAAATGTTATTTATGAATTTGCGCACCAGAATACATTTTGTAATACCTATTGGAAACTTCACAGTGGTTTCGAATGAATTCATGTTGAAGGTATAATAGTTATTATATAAATTATAATTTATAACCACGTAAAATATAAATCTAATCGTGTATATTTTCAGGTGTTTAAATTAACGTATTCTGTATTCATGATGTTCAATAATACGATTAATGGGTCAAAACTACTTAGAAAATGAAGCAATCAATGTATATCTTTCTCTTGTATTCATAATACTTGTTCTATTTCACTATAGTTTTTAGTGACTTTTCTGGTTACTTATACTGAGTTTAAAAAATACAAATTAATCGTAGTCCATTTAAAAATATCACTATTTAGGAATCTATAAGTACTTATAATGTATAAATTATATAGAAATATTTTACTATAATATGTTTTTGAAACAAAATATTCTATATATCGTACAAAAACAATCTAAAACCATATAATTGTCAATAATTTTTGCGTCAGTGTGTCAGAATTGACAGATACAGTTACAGAACGAAATTCCCTAGGCCGCAAAGATTCCCCCGAATTAACCTGGTGCAAAATAATATGGCGACGGATCCGTCAGATGTGAACGAGTGATTCGTGTCCTTGTCTGTCCCGTCGGTCCCGTCTGTCCAGTAAATCGCGAATCAGCCATCACCCTGAAACGCAATCAGGGTAAACAAGTCGCCAACCGCCATCAAGGCACTCACATCGCACGCGCTGCAGGTAACGCAATCCAAGTGTGCGCCAGCAGCACGCTCGCACTCTTACGCACCTGGCCCTGGACGGACCGACGAATTTTGGCCCCAGCGCAAAACGTAACGTCATGCGAACGACGTCCGTGCACCACAATACGCGCAGTGCAATCCGTGCGGATCGCGGGTGAGTGAATCGTCGGTGCTGGTTCCGTCGTCTACAGGCGTCCGACCAAATTTCAAGTGTGACCAGCGGAATCAGCTGCGGGCACGACACCAGACGCCAGAATCTTATTTTTGCTATTTGCATCCCAACAAGCAAACCAGCACACACACTCGAGTAACCGATTAAAATGTCTACGCCTGCCAGACGACGCCTTATGAGAGATTTTAAACGGTAATTATCGGAATCTTCGAGAATATTTTTTCTCAATATATTTTTAACCTATGACTCATCATTTGCTATATATTGTCTGTGGCTTTGTTTGATTGCAAATTTTCTTAACCTGGTTTTAGTTTACAAGAAGACCCACCGACGGGAGTCAGTGGCGCGCCAACAGACAATAACATTATGATATGGAATGCAGTCATATTTGGCCCACATGATACACCTTTTGAGGATGGCACCTTTAAGCTGACCATTGAGTTCACAGAGGAGTATCCCAACAAACCGCCGACTGTGCGTTTTGTCAGTCACATGTTTCATCCCAATGTCTATGCCGACGGCGGCATTTGTTTAGATATACTACAAAATCGGTGGAGTCCTACATATGATGTATCTGCCATTTTAACTTCTATTCAAGTAAGTTTCTTGTCATTTAATTTGCTTATTTGCAGAAAAATTATTCATAAGGTGTAAAATTTGCATCATGCATGGTAATATCCAGGTGAAATTTAATAGATTTTTCTATTTTAACTTTGAAAATAGGTCTAAATTGGTTTAAATATCATTAATATGAATGAAATTTTTGTCTAGATGTTGATTTTTTAAGGTTATGTTCAATTAAGTTTAAAAGTTGCAAAGATTTAACAAAGTTTCAAAAAACAATTCATTTTCTCATAACTTTCTACTTAACTATAGCTTTAAACGTCGGAAAATTATTATTTAGTACGTTGTTTATTACCTACGCGTACAATTACATGTTTTGACTCCGCTTATATTGACCAACCGGTTATTATGACGTACCTACACTACCAAGTTTGGTTTTCATATAAAATTCTGTATAAAAAGTCGGATATAATGACTTCGCTTACAGTGACATGTCGCTTATTATGACCCATTTGTAATAGATTATGTCCGGTTATAATGACATGATTCTTTACACCTCCGGTAATGTTCGTTGATACCTGACGACGTTCGACACGTGGCGAACTTTTATATTTATTGCTACATTTCTTTTATGATTGTCAAATTACTTTTATGTATTTACTATCGGAAAGACCAAATGCTTAAATAATAAATATAAGCATTCGGGCAGCAGCACCTTGACCACGACTTAATCCGTATTTTCCATTAATCCGCTATTCGACAATCTCAATGCTTTTAAAAACAAGAACCGCATTAAGCAATCGTTCAATTCAAATGTTTTGAAACCGAAGAGGCTTTAATTAAATGAAAAACAAAAGCAGACAAAAATTACAGATTACTTGCAGTAAAAATACACTTGTATGTGTTATAATGTGCTGATTACGTGCAATTTTGATTTTGATTTAATATGTATGTATATGTACATATTTACATAAAAAAGGGTTTTCATTTTACAAAACGCTTTGTATGACGTCCGCTTATTATGACGTGTTTGTCAATTCCCTTCGATGTCATTATAACCGGACTCTACTGTACATGTTTTGGATGCTACATATTTATTAATTATGCTAAAGTTACCATGCAGGATGAAAAATTCAAATTTTTTATCTTTTTATGGTTTAATAATGTTTGTTTCCTGTTTTCAGTCTCTATTAAGTGATCCAAATCCAAATTCGCCGGCGAATTCGATGGCAGCCCAACTATACAAAGAGAATCGACGAGAATACGAAAAACGAGTGAAAGCCTGCGTCGAACAGAGTTTCATCGATTAGCATCCATGTGTGAGCACGAAATAAGCGCGATTGTGTAATATTATCTTAAACATAAAATGCTGAATGAAAATGAAAAAAAAAAAATTACGAATTGCATCCAAACAAAATAACGAGATCAGAGAAACACAAATTACCTACTACTATTACCTACGAATAATATTACATTAGTTACTGCAAACTAAACAGACATCATGTACCCTTTGAACGATTCTTCTTCTGCTCGTGCATGTAAAACGCAACGAAGGCAGGGCCAAGATGCGGACACTACCGAGATTACACATCATTTTGATTCAGTTCGGTCTTGCATTACGTTTATTTCCAAGACGCACACACAAATGTACGGTTATTGGTAGTCCAACATGTATGACATTTTGCTTGATGCGTGTTAACGTGTTATTTTATGTTTGGTTTATTTTTATTTCAACAACTTGTGATGTGAATCCAGAGAAACTGTGAAAAAGAAAATGATGCGAGATCAAATATGATGCTTTAATCAGTTGTGAAATGATTACACGTCGAATGCGCTGGAAAATGCCAAGATTTTTGACCAAAATTTAACCAACTTAAAGCGTTTTACTCCCAAGCTTTATTCGATATTTACAGATTAATGTACATTTTTTTTATGTTTCGGGTGGTATTATAATAGGTATTGTAAAAAATTTGCAAAGAAAGAAAAGAGAGGCGACGTTTATTTTGATTTTTTCACATTGAATTGTGTCGAGTTGATTTGTTTTGAAGTGAAAAGCGAGGATGAGAAATAATTACAGATCGAATATCTGCTTGCTGTTGAAGTAATATAGATGTAAAACATTAATGGATTATCAAACACATGGACTCTCACACACACATGCAAACAGAAATATACACATGCGACAAGCAAACATTTAATGATATCGAGCGTCGTTTGAGCGCGACTATTAAAACAGACACCTTAATGCTGCGTTCGCGCGGGCCAATCTCATCCCATCAGTAGTAGTTGAATGTGTTATTTTATTTTAATGTAATCTACGATAATACTATACTTAAATAAATAAATTATTATGATTAATTCCAACCAAGTGCAATGTATGTTTTACTGCGCGTATTGAATGTTTTTGTATTTGAACTTTTGTATTGTAAAACTTCGATCTTTGTTTGCAAATTATTAGAAAATGTGAGGTTAAAAGGTTTGACTGACGCCGCTTATCATGTCATATGATCTTGTGCTGCGCTGTAGGCCAATGCGCATGCGCAAACCCCACACCGTGACTAAAGTGCTTTAATCACGGCCTCCGTGTTTAAATTACGTCTTTTTGTGTCTCAAAACAGTGGAAAAACTGGTGCTTTAATGGTGGAAGTAGAAAAATGATAATTTTACGCACACGGAGTGCCATTTTAAAGTTTGAAATTAAAAGTTGTGTAGTAGTTGTCATTGGCAACGTTAAAAAATCACTTTTACTCCCTTATTCTTAAAAATACAACATCGCAGATTGGAAAACATTAAAATTTACTAATTCTGTTTTTGCTTTTATTAGTTTCATGCTGACACAGACCTTGACTGCAAAATATATTCAATTTCCGCTATTATCACACAGTCATGATAGGAAAAACTGCAACTCATTTGCAAACAATTCAACATGGCCGCACACACATTCAACATCATTCGCAAAATGTGTATTCTAATTCTTACAATATTAATTTAAATGAACCTGAATAACTTATTAAAACTCATGCAAGTATATAAATACTGGTTCAACACTTTCAGTTTTCTTAAGTTCAAAATGTCGCCGTCCGGGCATAAACGCGTGTTTGATGAGGAGGTACTCGTCGATTTGACGCAGTTTCCCGATCGAATCGCAGATACATTCGCTGGGAAAACTGTACTTGTGACAGGTGCAACCGGATTTGTTGGTAGGGCGCTTGTAGAAAGAATTCTGCATAATACAGACGTGAAAAAGGTTTATATTCTTATTAAAAGTAAACGTGGAAAAGGAACACAGGAACGATTTGCTCATTATTTTGATAGCTGCGTGAGTTATAAACAAAAACATTAAATAAAAATCTTTTGTTAATAATTTTTTTTAATTTTTAGTTCTTTGATCCTTTGAAGAAGGAACGTCCTGAATCACTTAAGAGAGTGGAAGCTATTCAAGGAGATTTGTCTGAGCTAGAAATTGGAATATCACGAGAAGATAGACGAAAACTAATCGATGAAGTGAATATTATTTATCACAGCGGTGCCAGCGTGCGTTTTGATGAGTATATTAAGAAAATGATCATGTTGAATGTCAGAGGTACTAGAAACATGATTGCATTGGCCAAAGAAGTCAAAAATTTACAGGTAAACCAACAAATTTCACTTTTCACTTTAATTTTATATTTAAATACCAATTTTATTAATTTTATATTATTCTAGCTGTTTGTACATGTTTCTACAACATATTGTCAACCAAGAAATGTAGTTCTAAATGAAGATGTGTCTATAACACCTCATAATCCTCATGATATGATAAGAATAGCTGAAAACATGGATGAAGGAACGTTAAATATATTAACATCCAAGTAAGGATCACAATTTTAAGATTTAAACTTTTAAACTGTAAAAATCATTTCTGAAATTTATGTTTTTAGACTTGTTGGGGATTATGGCAATACTTACACTTTCTCCAAAGCTTTAGCTGAAGCTATTGTGTTTGAACAAATGGATAAATTGCCAATACTTGTGGTTAGACCTTCAATTGGTAAATTTACAGTTTCCTGTAAAAAAATACTATTAAACTAAAACACTTATGATGTTATTTGTAGTCATGCCTTGTATAAAACATCCAATACCTGGATTTACCGATTCTGAATATGGTCCAATGTCATTGTGGATTCTTTACTGTAAAGGTATGCTTCGTGTCACGAAAGTAAAACCAGAATACGTGCTGGATTATGTCACTTTGGATATGGTCATCAATACTTTACTCATCACAACTTACAACTATATAAATAAGTAAATATCTTTTTATTTTATTTTTAAAATGGTTTTATTCTGTATTTGTTTGTTTTATTTGTTAGTACGGAGAAAAAGTATCGGTATGCAACGCGACGAACATCCAATGGACCATGAAATATTGGCATGAAGTTAGCGTTCCTCTTTTGAAGAACAACCCTTCTCGATTGGTCTTGGTTTTCCGTGGGTTTTCCACGTGCAATGCCCGTTTCTCTTCTTCATTATGCATATCTTGTTCCAATTAGTGCCTGCAGTGCTAGTTGATAACGCATTACAGGCTTGTGGTGTCAAAAGCAAAAGAAAACTGCTTGATATTCAGCGCAAGATAACCAGAAGTAATGAAGTGCTGAGGTTTTATTCAGAGTGTCCACACTGGAACTTTAAAAATGATACAATTCGGACACTACGGATGGATTTGAACGAACGTGAAGATGAAACTTATCCGTTGAATATCGAGGAAATCGATTTGATGGAGTATTACAGGCATGGCCTGGCGATGCTGCGTGAACTTGTTGTGCATGAGAAGAAGGAGGACATGGAAAAATCGAAAATTATGTATCAACGAATGAAAGTTATACATAACATCATGAGAGCGTGCTTCTATGGGTGGTTATTGTGGCATGCGTATGCAACCCTTTTACCACTTTGTATACGTTTTGTGTTTTATATATTTGACGTTTAAGTTATGTTTATTTTACTGGTATTTATATATTTAATTAGCATCAAGGAGAAATATGCATATTTTGTATATTTAATTACAATGAATTTCAGATAAATTGATTAGTTTGCATGTTTTCGTTAATCTGATCACGGTATAAATAAATGAACATGTTGAAACAGCACAAAAGATTAGCGCAATCAGTTTTCGCATTGGCACAGATTCATGGATCATAGTGTTTCGAAATATTTGCGTATAAATAAGTGAAAAGTCAGAGCCATGGTCAACCAATGTGCCAAAAACATGTCGTAAATTGTTTTCTTTCACAACACTCAAACAATACGTATTTTTTCAAGTAAAACCTTAAATTTTAACAAAAGATTTTTTTGTTTTGCATTGTTTAGTTCTGTATAGCAGTGTCAAAGTTTATGATCTTTGTGTAAAGTTTATAATGATTGCAAACGACGCAGTTTAGACTGAGTTGTTACGCATTGCGTCGCTTTTTAAGCCCAGTCAAACAAAATGTGTGATTCTCCGAGCGTAACCGGTTCGAGTGGCTATTAATAAATTTGCATTTGCCTTAAATACACTTTTGCCTGCCGCAGTGGCTGATGACTGGTTAGCTTTGGGTTATATTTGTTGCCGTAACATAACAGAACTGGATTTTTTTCATATTTACTGTGATAATTGTGCTAAAAATGTCAAGTAAAAATGAAAGTTTGCGATTAAAATACACAAAACATATAAAACTAGGTTTAAAAATAGTATGTAATGTAATTAGCGACAGTATTGCTAAAATATTTGTTGTTAAATAGTCAGTAAAGGCTAAAAACAAGTGTAACAGATGCATTTTAAATGTTAGTTTTATTTTGTACACCTAGATGGCGCAACGTGTGCCGTTTCTAACAAAATATCTGAATTTATGTTTCCATTCACAAGAATAAAGGCAAACGTGACTGCAGCCACGACACGATAACTTTGATAACAGAAATACTATCACAACATGTTTGTGCGTTTGAAAACTACGTTTCATATTAAAATACAACCTATACAGCTCCTACGCCTTTGTTAAATAAGGTTTCGACATGATTGGAAAGCAACTTTCAATAATTTCATTCAAGTTGCAATTTCTAGCAGTCAACAAAATATTCTAGAATAGTTCCAGATCAACTTTTAATACGATTATAACGTAGTAGTTTACATTTACAAATAATGTACGCAGTGGGTTTCCACGTAAAACCTGATTGGTACGTGTGTATTTACACTATTATTATCTTATTAGCCAATAAAATGTATATTGTGTGATGTGCATGACTGGTGACTTTGTAATTATTCATGAAAAATGATCAAATGATGAATAATGACTGCAATTTGTAAACATGCACAGGTAAATTACATGTACACTTGTTTATTCAGTATGTTTTCCTCATCAGCATTAAATTTCCGCATAATAAAAATTAGTAAACGTTAAATTTGAAACCAAATTTGGGTAATTTTCCCGTTAGTAATTTGACGCTGTGGTGTGGGTTTATTAGTCAGGAGCGTGACTGGAGAATTCGAGAGTTTTTACGATAGTCATATAATAATATAATAATATAATGAATAACGGAGAAATCTAATCAGTTAATCATAAAAGTTTAACGAAAAACGCAATTAGAATTTTTACTACAGATTTTTGTCACATGATACAAAATTACTAAGTAATTTTATCGCAAATTGGACATCGTGTACAGACCTTCTTTATCAGTGTCAAGGAGGTGACAAACTACTTAAAATTATGTTCTATTTCTAGACTTATTAAGTCCTATCTATCCTGGTGAACTTCGTAGCGCCTCATTAATAAATGTCGCATTAATTCAGTGTGAATGAATTTGATTCACTAACCTATCCAGACCTTTTTTTTACTTTTTCAGTTTTTTAATCTTTTAAGGTAAAAGTAAAAAAATACGCGTCATTAATATCCATTAGTCACGCGATGATTAATCGAAGTTAGTAACAACCCAAGATTAATTAAATTTCCAGTATAAAGTACGTTTTAATGAAGTTTACTGACAGTTTTTCACAGTCACAAAATGTTTTACCATGAGCAGAAATGGCAATGAAAGAGTTGGTTGACATTTGGCGCGAGTCTGTGATTTGTGACTCAACAAATTCAGTTTTACTTTACTCGTAGTCTAGCTTAACTAGTGACGACGAGTCTAGAAGTGACTCGTTCATACGAGTAACTTCACATATTGACACGTTGCAATTGTGTATTGTAAATGTTAAGATCGTAAATAATCAATAATCACTGAATCAATATTTTATTTTATTGCGATAGATATAGATTAATTTAATACCTATTCTCGTATTTATAGCTATTATTGATGTTTCTCCGTTTTGTTTAAATGTTTTTAGCTTTATCACTATTAAATCAACCGAACAAAACACGAAATTAAAAAAATAAAAACGCAACGTTGATTATAAATTGATTGCCATTGTCATAGCGCTCTGTTGAAAGTAGGCAACACCGCAAACATTCGAGAAGGTTTACGAATTCATATTCATACAAAAGCAATCGCGATTGTTGTTAACGTTCGCAAATATTGCGAGCGTTGTGTGGTACGTCACGAGCCACGAATATTGCAACATACGACATAATTACATTTAATTACCGTTTTACCTTGCCTAACAAATTAAACGCTTTGCTTTGCCTTGTATTGTTTTTAAATTGATAAATTTACTGAGTCAAAGTAATATTTGAGACATTTTTAAACCAGTCGGTTTTTACCAGTGCAAAACAACTAGAAATGCAATGGCTTGAACAACACATTACTTCCTTTTATAGTCTTTAATAAATCATTAATATAAATAAGTCGTAAAAACCTGCGTCTGACATATCGTACGTTTTTATTGATTGTTGTCGTTCGAAACTTAAACCTACGGCAATGCATTTCATGTTTTCCATTACTTCCATTGATTGTTTTGTTTATAAAAGCACAGAAACGTAGCAATATTGTATAGTACTCCTTTAATTTCCAACAATATGCTTTATTGATATCCTGAAAATATATTTCACTTCAAAACAAACTTACAAATTACAGAATTTTGAAAACGTGTTTATTAGGTTGCCTATAATATTTTTGAAACTGCTTTATAACCTCCGCAGCTATGTTCAAACGAAAGTCAGAAATTAACTTTCGAATCATTTTAAAGCACTCAAAACTATTTTTAACATATAATTAATTAACCTTTGCAAGTGTTTAACAATTGTGGAACGATATGATGTGCGGTCAAGGAAACAACAATTCACGTCGTGAGCTGATATTCCCGGTGAGTGATAACATTAAACATTGTATACAATTACTTTGAAATCATTTTCCTATAAATTTCTAGAAATTTATGACGACGGCTGAAAAACGATTTATTACAGCGTAATTGCCGTGGGTATTATGTAATACTAAAAATGATGAATGTGAATACTTTCAGCATTCACTATGAACTAGAGTAATATGTACTCGTTCCTATAACCAACAAGTTAATATCGTGTGTTTATCGGATGTTATAGTAAGTAAATTTATTGCAATTCGCAGTAAAACTATTTGGCATCTCTAGAATCTCGCCAACGTATTTTTATATTATAATGCTATCGAAAATTTTAGAGTTAATGGAAGTTTCCGTTGATTATTCTAGTCGCTATCTTTAGTATGTATACGGCACGTGAGGCATAACGTTGGTAAACAACTCGGAATATCACAAGTTCAATAATTCATTAAGTAATTAATGTCTCGAGTTTAAGCATTCGCGAATCGTTGGCACGAAAACCTTATCTATACCAATCGGAATTGAAAATATAAAAATTAAATATGTACGTGTATATTATATTGCATATTTGATTGTTGCCAAGCGTCAATCGCCAACTATCCAGACAAGTGGGTTTGTAGTGTACTCGTAATGTGCGAACATAACGCGTTAGTTAAAAACAAAAACAAAAATGTGAATGTATATCAACTGATAACAAGCAATCATAACAAGCATTGATGTTTCCAATCATCATCAAAATTTCAAACATCACAATCGTAAAATGTGAAAACAACGCAGTATTTTAACAGCAATTATTAATTTTAGTGGTAAATCAATATTTTCAATATTTAATCAATGAATGATTGCAATTTTGTATGTGCAAGTCGCAAAAAGGATGTTTTAACTTCTAACCTTTTAGTTATAGTAATTTTTAGTTTAGTAATCAATTTCCAGAATATCTAATCGTTATTTTAATTCATTATTGTCAGCGTTAATAATATCTTGACCGGTTTATTTTTATTAATCACATATAATAATGATGTATTACCATTATCAGCAGGACGTGGCACATCAATTGAATTATTGCTTAGAATGTGATATATTTTTAAACGAACTTTAAACGAATATTGTATATGTAGTCATTTCCTAAATTATCCTCTCGGCACTTAGATGAAACTCACTGATACTCCTCTCTCAAAATGCGCTTACTCAGTAAGCAAATAACATGTTTGTGCATTTTTTTACATTCTTGGCACGTCCAACATGGCTGTCACCGAGACGCCTGGCAGTCTGAAAACTCAAACAAAAAAAAAGCTTTGAAAGACTAAAGTTTCATGTGAATGTGAATTATGCTTGCGTTGCACATTAATATCTATTATATTTAATGTTTAATATACTAAAGTTTTTAGTAGTCAGCAGAAAATTGCTATGCAAACAGTTGAGTTTAAAAATAAATATGTTTTCGTTGTTGACGGCGAAGGAGCTTAGGTTTATTTGAATAGGCAAGCATTCTTGACGTACTCGTAGATAAGTAAAAAGTTACACAAACGTTACATATTGCGCTGACAATGGTAACCACAAAGTAACACAATAATACAAACACAATGCTATTGCAAAGTGAAAACGTAAATCATGTACGTAACTAGACTTAAAATTCGAGACTCAAATGTTTGAATGAAGCAAAAAAAACACAGATAAAAAATACCTAGTTGAATTTATAATGTAAAAAATGCGATAAGAGGTAGAGTAAACAAAATTATATATACAAGTAATATAATAATGAAAGACCTTGGTCATTTAATTGTCTATTAAAACAATATTTGTGACTGTAATTGTTTTCGTCAACTATGGTCCTTGGATTTATTTGACTTGCTAAAATATTCGGAAACTGAATATTTACAACGAATAAAATAATTTTCAGAAATTATTGGTTTGGTAAAGTTGATAACGTTTACATTTTTTAAATTTGTGCTTGACGTTGCTCAAGACGTCAAAATTGAGATAACAAAACGGATAATTTGAATTTGTCACTCATTGGATCAAATTTGTGGAAACAAAATGAATAAGTTTTTACAATAAGAATTGAGTAGTTCCGTGAGCAGTTTTCCGAATTTTGCCGTTTTTTTTTTATTAAAAAACTTTAGTCACGGCCTTCGCCATCCATGTTTAAAGTACCACTTTTTGTGTCTAAAAACAGTGGAAAAACTCACGCTTTGAAGGTGGAAGTAGAAAAAATATTTATTTTCATTTCATAAGCATATAGTGATAAAATTTATATTTAATTCGACATTAATTTGAAAATAAATAGAAATTATAACAACACACGTTGTAAAATTTAAAAAATAGTCAAAAATATCATTAATCCCACAATTTATCATTAAAAAAGTGTGTTCAGTATTCCATGACTCAACAATTTCAAAACAATTATTTAAATCTTCCACAACTCACCTTTTTATCGATTTTATACTCGTACTGTCCATCAGTAGTCCTCGGTTGGAATCATTCGACGAAAGATGAGACATCTCTGGCCAGGTTTGAATGGAATGGATCCCTGGTCCTCGTAGACTTGTAGATATATTTTGTTTTGCATTTTAACAATCCTCTCTTGCTCAAATTTGGGCTGGGATAAGGAAAATAGGGAATAGGACATTAGGAAATCACTAATTTGGCATTAATATAATTTCATACAGAACAAAAAGTGTCTGGGTGGTGTCTGTGGTATTGGAATATAGGAATGTATGAAATTCTGTTTGTTTCAAATTCTGAAACGCGTCCTCGCGTCACTATCATCATGTTAATTGACCAAAACGATTTTTTATTTATACATCTGCAATGGCCAAATTAATTGACTTAAATTTTGTCATCTGCTTCTATCAAATTTTGACTATGTAGAGTATGAGTGGAAAATTTGGAAAACAAATCGCCGGGAACACGAGAAAGGAGGAAATAGGGTATATTTTGTATCTGTGGTGTTTTCTCTGTTTACAATCCTTTTGCGCAGTGTCTTTGATTCAGTGTCAAAAGGGGATATCAGGTATCACAGTTTTCAAAGGATGGAGATGATGAACTTACATAACATGAAAAGTATATACAAATATTGCCGTTGGATTCGGTTGCTTCTTCTTGTACATCTTATGCTTTGCTCGTCGGGTTTATCTTTATCTTGACTTGATAATTTTCTGCTTTTTGCTTATGTGTGTGTGTGTATGTGTATAGTATACTATTTCGTTTTCGATTGGTTACATGAAATCTTAATTGCGTGTGCGTAGTGTGTGTGTGTGTGTGAATCATCAAAACTTAGAATGTAAATTAAAGCGTTCCTCTGCGCAATCGGGCTGCGCTTACAAGATGTGGAAAATAAACTTTCAATCGGAAACAAACCTGCCACACATGTTGATGTGTCGCACTTCGCTTCCCTCTTCTTACAAAACTTTTGATATTCAGAGATGTTGGTGTCTTACATTTTCATCGGTAAATAAAAACGTTATCAAACAAAGTTTAGTGAATGCATGAGATCCGATGCCTTACAGACTAATAATAACTAAGTATACAGCGAAAAATTAAAGAAATAACTAAATTTCGAGATTCCTACCGCCCAAAAATGCTGCGTGTAAGAGGAAAATATATAGGTACATATATCAATCGTACAGATCAAGTCGTAACGGAAAATTTCGAACGCAATTTTCTGTTTTACAATGAATGGTTGGTAGTAATTAATTTTATCATCGAAAATTTGTGCGTGCGTTACACATTCCATCCGCATAATTGTCCATATACAAACATTTTCAGACTAACCACAGAGTTTAAAATTTTTTGACAATTAAAACCGATAAATAAACGTAAATAAATTTCGAAATCAGCACAAATCAATCCATACTTCTAATAATTTTAAAACGACAAATAAACCAGTCGTTGAAAATGTTTGCATTTGGTCAATAAAACGCAACAATCATTAAGTAGACGTCAACCAGAAAATTCCTAATTAATTATTGCACATCACTTGATTAGGATTGGACCGTATCTGCATTGCATCGGCGTGCAAATGTAATCCAATGATGTCAATCAATGTGGTTTTGAGAAACGACGCCTCATTCAATCTTTCATATATTTTACATTTTCTTGGTCGAATGCGACGCTGGAATTTCGTATCACTCTTGCGCGTTACAAAGTAGCGCAACTGCCAAACACACACAGCTATGTAATTTATTATTCTGATTGAAATTTTTAGTCGATAATTTTAACGAAATAGAAATTCTTATTCTCAAATATTTAAAAGTTGAATAAAATTGTGTGGTGTGTTTGGCAATCACCTTACACGTCGACGACGCAAGAGAATTCCATTTACGGAATCTCGTAATTTACTTGATGGCTTACTGGCTAGATATTAGTTAATAGAGTTTTTTGTATCTATGATTAAAATCGTGATTATACATATATTTGTACTGCGTTTTAACAAAAATACAACGCCCCTTCTTTTTTGCTTCTCTTTGCGGAAATGCACAAATGCGCACGCCGAATATTGTGTGTCAGTGAAGAAGGACGGCGTTTGTTTCTCTTTTCTCTTTTGTATCATCTCTTTGTATTAATAGTGTTTTTTTCTTCTCATCTTCATCTTAATTAAATATATATTTATATATTCATATATCGTTCATATCTTACTTTTGTCGAACCCCCACGGCATGCGAACGAGCATCAAAGTCATGTTTTTATAATATTTTAAAGAGACATTAAAGCTTTGCACGAGTTCCCATCGTCTTCGATCACATACTGGCTTGTTCGAGGAACACGCGCGCGATTTGATTCCACACGCGTATTGTAACAAAAACAATTCGCAATTTAATTCAGAATTCAAATTAAATTACATCGCGATTGTTGATTTTTACAATACGCCATTTTGTGCGATCACATCGCACGCCATCTTGTATCTTGTAACTTCAATTCAAACTTAATCACATCAACATTATAAATGATTTTTATTTTTTTGGTCGTCGTTGTTCTCGCCCGCCTGCTTTATCGCGAAATATTCGCGATCACAAAGCGTCATCCGAATGCGAACGCATTGACTCGTGACACAATCGGTTTGTAAGTGTATTGGATATGAGCGCGCTGCTCTTATAATTAATAATAAAAATCAGTACAGGTCGATGTAGAAAATCGACGCTAGCGGCGCGCTCATCATTGCGATGCGGTCGCACCGGATTCATCTTTCAGCGGGAGAGAAACACGACGGTTTTTTATAAGTTTTTTTCTTTTCTCGTTTTCGTTTTTGTTTAAATTTAAATTTAATTTCTGTTGCACCGATTACATAATAATAATAAATGACTATTTTCCGTTTCGTTTTGAATTCGTCCAAACTGCGATGCTCGTTCGGCTCGGGGCTCCATTGCGCACCCTTCGATCTCCGACCGCCATCTGATTCGTTTTATCCATAACAAACATTAAACCGAAAATCACATTTAGAAATAAGACTCTAACATTTCCATCGCATTCATATTGTATCGCTTAAACATTAATATCGCAATCGCTCTCTTTCAAAACTCAACTCTTCCGGTTTCTATTTGAAAAATCTGTTGTTGGTTGTTGTCGTAACAATGCGGCCGTTATTGGTTATTGATCATTTGTTGGTGGTTTATATGTATGCATGTGAGTGTATGTGTGTCCTATGTATATATAATATATATTTATATATAATATATCTACAAGTCCAAAGCAATCAGGAATATGTAGTAATAAAAATTGGGTCGATACGTTGATTGCGCCTCGTGTTGTTTACCTCGCTAATTATTATATCACAGTCGCGGCTGAACAGGACAATTTTCAAGTTTCGTATTTTAAAGCCATCGCCATATTTTGCGCGCGCTTTTGCACATCACAGAAAAGTGAAATTTTTGTTTGCTTCAATTTCGACACGACGAATCGATTCGTTGTTTTTCGCTTTTTGGTTTTTTCTCTGTTTCTGCACACGTCGCATACCAATTAAAAACGTATTGTCGTGTTCACTCGCTCCCACATCGTCGGACTTAGATTAGATTCTGTTGTTTTGAAGCTTTCGCTCTGCTGGTTGTTGAGAATTAAAAAATAATCTGTGTTTTTTTTTTTAATTGAACGTTCATCATAAATCACAAATCGTGTCCTCTAGTTTACCTCCAGTTCTTATACAACTTCACAACGCTATGTTCGTACACTTGCACAATTTCAACTCAATCCTTGTTTTAATTTTAATTCTCCCTCGACGCGACGTGATGATCAGATGAAGAACTCATGCTTCCCCATCGGACATCCGCGTGCTCTTCTTCTTCTTCTTCTTCTCCGTTTGTGCAGAGTGGATTGCCACAAAAAATAATTAAAAGTCACGTTTTGTGTTTTTATTATTTGAAATGTTTGAAGACTTGAACGCGCGCGCACTGTTTCTTCATGATGATTTCCATGGACGTGGCGGTAGTGCTGCGCGAGATGGGCGCAACCCGTCTCAGGCCTGCACCTTGAGCATCAGCTTGAGCTGGTTGGCCAGCTGATCGCCGGACTGCTGGGCAGCGCACGGGGTGCCAACGGGGGCGCGCGCGTGCGGCTGCTGCATCCAGTGCTGCGGCGGTGGCGGCAACGCGGACGGGAGCGGCGGCTCGGTGAACTTGCAACCGGCGTAATGGCCAGCAAGCAGGCCGGGGGACGTACGCGGACTGCCGCCCCCGATGGTCGGTGGCGTGGTGACGCGCGATGGACTCAGACGTGGCGACGATTCGCCGCCAACGCCGCCGCACTTGCCGCCACTCATCGGCGGTGTAATGCTCTTGAAGTATTTCGGACTCGAGCCGTAATACTTCGCGCCGCGGCCACCGTTGCCGCCCCCACCATTGCTGGTGTTATTGTTGTTGTTATTCTTCGCGCTGCGGTTTTGTACTTGCACTTGTACGGAATTGTTTCTCGCCATTGTTCGTCGATTGTAAACACAGTGATCGAAATAAAAATAGAAACGTTTTTTTGTTTCAAATCTTACGCTCGCTATATCGTCGTCGTCGTATGCTTAATAATGTAGTAAAAACGTAAAATGCTCGTTTCGTGTGTCTCTCGTCGCGGAAGCCAATATCACAGATCCTCGCTTACCGCCGGCGGCGTCGTCGTCGTCGTTCTCACCTCACAGTCGTATCGGTACCTCGTCCTCCGCCGTCGCATAACACCACTGCGTGCTGCGTAGTCCACGTTCTTCGCCGTCGTCGACGCGTTGCACATTCAAACTCACGCGAATATTTTGCTTTCACAAAATGGACGCGTTCGAACAAAGGACGGTGACGAGCGTCGGGCTCCAAGATGGCGGCGACGATGTTTACCGTATTGCACGCACCGGACGCCACTAGACGTAGTCGACGGTGGAATAACTCTCGCACTCTGGAGGAGAACGACCAGGTCGGATACACAGAACCGGATTCACCACCGTTTCTCAGTCAGGTAACCGTTTGTATTTAGAATGCGCTGCTGCTGCGGTCCGCTTATACGTTGCGTTGACACACTTTGTTCAGTTTACGCGCTGGCACTGAACGGGAGCCTCTCTCTTCAAACTCACAAAAACAACTGAGAACCGAGCACGGTAACCAAAGCGAGCGTCGATAGGCGAACGAGGGAGCTGCGTCAGCCGCCTGCGTCAATCGATGCGGCGGCTTCCCCCAATCGCGCTCGCACTGCCATTACAAAACACGAACGCTCGCAATCGCGCTCCAACTCACTACCAACCGGACTTATCGGCGTCGGAGCGATAAAGAAGAGAATAGTAAACGAAAGCTGTACAAACCAGGATATGAGGCTGGCGGCCCCTTGGTCGATCCCCTCCATGTTGTTACGTTCACAACCAACGTACGCAGCGTTTCATAAGTTTTGAAAGCATTGCACACAAAGAACTGCTGTAAGCGGGACCTTGATATGTTTAATCAATAAATAAACAGCAAACAGGTAATGTTATTTTAGTACTGGTAATAGTCAATCAGTTACAATAACGGTAGCAACATTAATAACTCAATTTTTATGTAGTTTTGTATTAATTTTAAGTGTATTTCGCTATTTTTTGACGTTTTGCTGATTTTGACGCATAAAATTTATTGGCGCATGCGTACATTACGTTATAACATGAAATCCAGTAGAAACCTCGATACGAAACGCTGATATATCGCTCTCACACGCCGCTTGCGGGTTTTTACAAATAAAACGAAGCGAACGTAACGAAAATAACGAGAACGGCAGAAAAATGTTGTTTATACAGAGTGTATGTTATACCCATATATCTATATGTGCGTGCTCAGCGTTTCTGCGCAACTCGCAACTTGACACGAATAGAAAACATCGCCGTTGCTGACTGGTTTACATCGAGTGTGTTATTCTCATTCTATTCGCGAAGGTTCACCTAAAGGACGCAGTGTAATTATACACGTTATAGGTTATTACAATATTTAATTTAACATTTTGTAAATATAACTAAAAATAATGAATTCATTTTGTAGTCAGCTGGCAGCTGTTTGGGTTTATAGCCGCGCGTCGCTCTGGGGGCCTCTCCCCCTTTCATGCAAGATGCGTGACGTTCTCGTTTAATCGTTGGTTCACTGCATGCTCTATTTCTCTCTAACTTATTACTACTCTGGTAGTTGTTTTCTTTGTCACCTCGTTTGGTATTCGGTTCAACGCAGCGCGCAGCCTGTTGACACTCGGCGAAACAAAAACAAAGCTCAGCTGTGGCAACGGTGGGTGCGGTTGGTGCGCCGAGAGTTTGCTGCGCTCCCTCATTCACCGACATTCCTCTTTCAACATACGAACATGTGAAAATATGTCCGTCTGATGCCTGGCTTCGTTGCCTTCACCAGCCCTTTTACCTTTTCGACAAGGGCATCAACCATCAACCACACCCAGAGTCGACGGAGGTAACCATAGTACCTCACCAATCAACCTTTTATCCTTACGAAACTCAAAGACCCTTTGAGCGTTCGAAGCTTTTACGCTTTCAAGCTCCAAAGATTGAAATGAAACTCTGAATGCGTTTGGAAATCATTTCGAAATGTTCTGAATACCTACCTCTACAGGTTTGAGTCTTGAATGCCATCAAAAGTCACATGGCAACTCGTTACAAGCGTTTTACACGACAAGATTCTCGTTTGTTTGGTGCGTTTTGTGTCGTAATGCTATGGTAATCATGGCATAATGTATATTTCGATACGAAAACATGTCACTCTTTTAAATTGCGGCCATATTTTATAATTTGTACGAAGCATCATTTCGGAATTATGAGTTACATGAGCGTCTCATTGTATTTTCATAGATGTTGAACACATCACAACTAAGTATGCAACATTGTATGCAATGCGGATATAAAATTTCACCAACTTCCGTGTTTAATACCAATATATTTTTCTTATAATTTAAAGAGTTTGCTTAAAAATCTTATGAAATGAGTTTTTAATGACTGGATTTTTATAGAATATGACGTTTTTTCTTGCAAAGCGATTAATTTCACTTTCACGCAGGTCAAATTATTACTCCGAGGTATAATCTATTTTTTATTTTCTAATACATTTTATAATATAACATGTAACATCTGTAGTCTTTTCACCACACGCACATTGGTGTACGTTGGGTTGCCTACCACAAAAGCACGTTTGTTTTATTTTTATGCACAACTCAGTCTCAAGTTGCTTTTTAAACAACACGGCTGCAAAACAAATAAATACTAATTTTTAGTGGCAATTATAAGGATTACTTTGTGTTATTAAGTTTTGCTCATTAATTTCAAGGTGAGACATCTTTTTTTATACTTATTTTGATTGTTGAACATTGTTTCTTTTGTTTAATTTAAAGTTTTAACTTGGGTTTTACCTGAACCTAACTTTTTATACAAAAATACTGCATGATTCAAGCGGACGTTTAGATAGTATATTATTCAGATTATTTCAAGGAATATTTAAATGTAGATAAGATATTAACATGTTGTAAGTGTCTTGTGCTTACTTATTCCCTCATTCTCTAAGATCTTTGTGCATCTAATAATACCCATAACTATTGATTAATGTACTTGGCTTTGCCAAACCAAAGGATAATCCTCTTATGAGCAAGGTCTTGAGACCTCAAGGAGGCGAAACTGTGCACTTGAACTAGAAAGATGGGTCGAGAAGAGAGATTATAATAGTGCTTAATATTCTGTTTATAGATTCAACATCAAAAGGGCATCAATCTTTTCAAATTTGCTTTGTGATAGTTATTTACTATGTAATTGCATAAGGAATTAATGACAGAATATAAAATCCATGCCAATTTTGTCGCCATTTTGAATTTGGATTTATTTTTAGTTGGAACCACTACGCATTGTTATAGAAAAATTAATTGTTAATTAGTTGAAGTGCACGCTGACAGTTTTCGTTTTTCATTTGGTTGAATTCTAAAATTCTATTAATATTTCTCATCGTAATAACATGGACGCAGTCCGCACCTTCATTTAATTCGCTTTTTTGTCGAATTTAGTGCAATGCGCGCTGAGACTGCGCCCATATGATTAACACAACAGTATCGATGTGATGTATATGATCTCCTCCCCACCAGTTTGACAAACACAACACACGGCCTCCTCGCCAGGCCGCCGCCGCCTCGCGTTGGTGTCCCGTTCTGCTACTCAATTCCACTGTTGCGCGACAGCGAGAGAGAGGTCGATCGGGTGGCCCACTCGATCGCAGCCTCAGCGGGATATTTCACAATAGAAAAGGAAAAGTTGGTGCGGCTGGTTGCGACTTTCTGCGCGCGGACAAAAGCGAGCGTGAGTGCGTGCGGTGCTGCGATGCGTTTTGGTGGCTTGCGTGCGGAGCGCGTCGTCCCGAACCCAAACCCGTAGAGCCTCACCACACCGCCACAATCGTACGCGGAGCGCCGACCAGCGCGGATCAATACACACACATCTTCCCTGTGTGTGCCGCCTGTGCGATCGACAATCGTGTGTCGTCCAAGGCGCAGAATATAATTTCAGTGAATCACCTTGCGCGTGCATCAGTTACAAAAAACGGTATGTACACGATTGTGCCTCTGCGTTACAAGGTTGTGCGGTGTGCCTGGCTTGCGGACCAGCCGCGCGCACCGTTTGTCCTCCAAATAAAACAATTCTTGTTTACTTACACACTCGTACTGGGTGCATGCATACTCAGTTTCAATCCGCCTTCGGTGTGTCTCACGGCAACAGCGAAACACGCTAAAAACGGCGAACGGACTCTCGTTTTGCCGATTTGTGTGTTTTTTTGTACACATATGTAGATATTTTCGCTGGCGAGTTTGTATATAGCTAATGTATTTCTTGTTTAGTTTTAGACTCGGTCCGTGCGCGCTCGGATGCGACGCCCCCAGCAGCCAGCAAGATGAATAATAATAATCACGGGCAGGCACGTCGCAACTCGTCGACGTTCAATCGGCATTCGAACAACGCGCGCCCGGCGCACGGCCACAATCGATGGGCGAATCGATACAAGACGGATTATGGCCGAGATTACGCTGACAACGGCTTCAATCGAGGGTGAGCATGTGCATTCCACATGTTATTTATAGCCTTAATATTTATAACGCTGCTTTGCTGAAGAGAGGAGGAGTGGATATGCATCATGCTTACAACAAACATTTACAAACACTTACATCATCACTGTTATCACACTAATCACAAATTTCACTTGCGCTGCGTGTGTGTGTGTGTTAAATTTGAAATTTGGGGCTGTGGAAAAATTGTGGTTAACAGTTTTTACATGTCACCCAATTAGGGAATGCTCAATGGCGCAAAACAACAGCCCCAAGGACTCCAATTACGTGCACGGCTATCCGAAATCGCAATTGAGTCCTGTTCTGCGCAATAATCATATCCACTACAACGAGCCGTCAGGTAAATCTTCAAAAACTTTATATTTTTAATCGCATTTTTATTTAATTCATTATTATATTCACCAACAGGTCATAATCACGCGCCGGATCGAAGACATCTCAATCAAGTGGAGCGCCGTCCGAATTATCCGGCGGATAGGCGTCACATGAACCTGGCGGATCGTCGTCATATCAGTCCGCCGTTACACATCAATATCTGTGAGAACAATACCAGCTTGTTAGGATCGCCGCAAGGCGAGCATCATCGGCCCCTGCTTGATTTTAATCAGCGTCGTCACGGCAGAGGTAAACATTATAACTTAGATTTAAAGATTTTGATCATATTAATTTGTATTATTATTATTATAGATGTGAGGGTTAGTCCGGTGCATTTCCAACAACACTCTCCTCCATACTACGGCAGACAGAGCAGTGACGAAGGTATCAAGTCGGAGAGCCCATCGAGAAAACGAAGGCGGTTGTCACGGTCTGGGCATCATATTGAGCTAGCTCCACAGCCGGCGTCACCGCCGAGAAGGTCACCCAGACAACACCCACCTTCAACGCATACTATGCAGGTAAATAACGAAAATATGATAGTTTTTAACGTGGAATTACATAAATATAAACATTTTCGTCATCTCGTAATCGTCATTGTTTACCATTGCAAATGGCGTCTTTATATATTGAAAATCGTGAATTATGAATTAATTGCTGAAGTAAATGTTGACACGATATGAATTTGTTATCTTGGGCAAATAGTTTTATCTTAATCTGCATGTAATAGTGAAAATTCTAAACATTTGGAATTTCTAACGTTTCCGTTTTGTGTGGCATCTGTTCGCATCGGATTCATAGTTCACGCCGACAAAGGCCGTTCATTTATAACCTGCAAACAAACTAAAGCATTGCGGAACAACCTTTGCGACCATAAACGCGAAGATTGGGAGTTGAGCAAGTTTTTAAGGTGTACCTGTTGTAAATAGCAGGTAAAAATTTTGAGGTCTTCAACTAGTGAAAACCTTTTTATTTTTACCTGAAAGTTTATGCTTTCAGAGGTAGACAAGATGGGATATTTGGGATTTTCTCAAACCTTTGATTTTTGTCGGTTTATGATTGACGTAGCAAATTTACACGCAGCTTGCAACGTAAATAGCAAACAGCAATTCAATACTCAGGGTCATCCGATTCAATTGAGAATGCAATCAGTTGTTGTATTGTGTGCCATCACCTCATCAGTTAGTGGTTACATTCTAGACTCTCTGATCTCAGAATGGCATTCGTATGATGATCAAGTGACATTTTTAATTTTTTTACATTTTTTTAGAGCAAGATAAGCCTTTAGTGGTCATGTTTCACGTTTTGATTTCATAATCTTGTTACCAATAACAATATTATTGTTTTTGTCAAGCTCAACTTTGCGCTGTGCGTTGACATTTTAAAAAATTGTTTATATTGCCCGGTCGCCTTGGTAGTACTCGATAATGTGCAACGAATTTTCATATCGCAAACAATGAATGCAGAAAAGGTTGAAATTATGCACGTACGATGAATGTGTGTGTGTGTGTGCGGAAAATTCACTTTATTTTGCTTTGTTTCTCGTAGGGAAGCCCACCATTGCGCAGACCAAGATATCGCGAGCAACGTGACTTTAATCATTCGCATTCGCACGCGCACGTCCATCACCAGCCCTTCATGCCCAGCTCGCCGACGGTGACACACGCCCACCCGCATCCGCATCAGTCGACCGTGATGATGATGGAGAACTCGGTGACGATTCCGCTGCACAATCACCATCATCACCATCACCACCATCATCACGAGATTGCGCCGCCGCCGATGTGGAACTACACGCCGGCGCCGCACATTTCACTCTGCTCGGCGCCGCCTGGCGCGCCGCCTCACATGCACAGTTGTCATGTGTATTCGCCGCAGTTGATGCCACAGCAGTTCATTCCGCAAGGTTATGGGCCCTTCCCTTCACCGCCGCCTCTTTCTGCGAGTCATTATCAACATATTCCACCGCAGGTAATTTTAAAATTTTGTTTGTTTTTTGTTTGGAAATCTGTAAATATTTTTTAATTATAGCGTCCAGATGCACTTGAACTGGACTTATTAAACGACCATCATGGCAGTTTACATCCCCATGGTCACAATGGTAACGGCAACGGGGCTTTGCACGTGCCGCCATTGCAGGTCTCGCCGCCGGTCTTCCTCGGCGCCGAGGCGCGTAACACGCAGTTGGAGTTGTTGCGCAATCGGCGCACGCCGCGGTTGCAGCCGCTGCCGCCGCAGACGCGCACTCGCTGGCATGCACCGCCAGCGCCACTTATGGCTCCGCCGCCTCAGTATTCCGGTTTTCTATTGCATTTCCTGTAAGTTTGGTCATGTTTTATTTTATGTTTTATAATTGCTTTAACTGGATTTTGTTTGTAGCGCCATGTTCTCCAATCCACCGTTATCTCCGTTCAGCCAGACAGACCTGTCCAGTTCGGACTCAGTGGGTGCTGAGACGGAGAACTACGAGGCTCTGCTTAATCTCGCTGAGCGTTTAGGTGAAGCGAAACCACGCGGCCTCGCCAAGCTTGAGATCGAGCAGCTGCTCAGCTACAAGTTCAACGCCGATACGCACCAGGGCGATCAGACCTCGTGTGTTGTCTGCATGTGCGACTTTGAGGCGCGCCAATTGCTGCGTGTGCTGCCCTGCTCGCACGAGTTTCATGCCAAATGTGTCGACAAATGGCTCAGGGTAAGTGCAACTTCAGTATAACTACGACCATAGTTAAATTGATTCATTATTTGTTTTCAATTACACATTTTTTTGTGTATAGATTAATTTTTTTGTGTTTATTTTCAGTCAAATCGAACTTGTCCAATATGTCGAGGTAACGCATCAGAATACTTCAATAATAGTGATTAAGCGAACATTGTTTAAAAAACAACAAAAAAACAAAATGTACTGCAATATTCAGGTAAAAAAGAAGTTTGTTTCGCATTCTTGTTATAAGCTTAACGCGAGCGGCAAAGTAAACAATTGCTAAACGATAAAGGCAAAACCAAATAATAACTCTCAGAAACAAAACAGAAACAAACACAAGCAAATACCAAGCAACGCGAAAATATCTCATTCATCAGTGCCATTAGCAGCCAGTAAAGTCACAATTTTAACGATAGTTCTTAATCTTAAAACAGAAGCATCATAATAGTAAGTTTAATGTCACTTTCAAGCAGAAACTAAAACCAAACCTATAATATGAGCTACTAATTCCCCCTCGTTAACTTCGGTTTTTGTTTTTTCTTCTCGTTATAATTCAATTAACTCTTCCTTATGTAACATAAAAAAACTATTTACTATTACTGAAAACTGCAAAACAATGTATTCTACGATATTAACATAAGTGTTAAGGGCTTTGTAAACAAAATGAAAGCGAAACAACTTAAGTATATAATTCACAGGGTGTTCATGTATATTTATCTCGATTTGAAATTTACATTTTAAAGTCATACAATATGCAATAAGACGTGTGTGGATAAGTCGCGGAGAGTGCTGCTCACAAAACACAGTTTACATAAGTTAATTTAAGACGAATTAACGAACGCGATTTGTTTAAGTTGTTGCGCCGTTGTTGAGTTTTGAGCACGAAGCAAAAAAGCCGAAAAAGAAAACGCAATATTTATCAACTACCTCCATTAATATTTGCGCATTGTTTTCGAATCGAATCGGGAGTTTGTTACCTACGAACCAGCAACGGATAAATCTCATTAATGCCAAAATTTTGTTTGTTTTGCATGAGTGTTCGGTTTTGCATCCGCCACGAACATGTATCGCAATGTATTTTTTATGTATGTATTATCTAATTTTTGAACATTTCGAATTTCATTTGTTTTATTTTGATGAATGAACGTGTGCAAAGCCGTGTTTTGTAATGAACGCCAATAGTTGGCGGGTATATGCTTTGTTACTATTAATATTGTTGTGTGATATGCGCAAGCCGCAGCTCGCGACCGTACACCATCCATAATATCACGTTCAGTCGCTAGTTGTGGCTCTGCACTTCCTAGTTACTAAGTTATTAATGAATTTGATTACTTCTTATGAACGTTTCTACTACTCTACAATTAATTTTGCGAGCAACTATATACACTTATTGCAATTTTGTTACGATTAATTCTAGCTAATTATTTATTATCATTTAGTTAATTCGATGATAAATGGTCGCGCGATGTTTTGTTTGGTTGTGTAGCGATTGTGTAAACACTGCTTTACTATTTGTTAACCGCAATTTTACTACTCACAAATTTCTCTGCGAATCTTAATTGAACGATGAATCATTTGCAATACTAGCGTTGAAATAATGAATAATTTTAGTTTATTGTTTTGTTCAATCAGTGGTACAAATGTGATTAGTTTTTAATTGATTATTCTAAGTGTGAGATCCTATTTTTTGGTAGGATGTGTTAACGTTTATAAGTTGTTATTAGTTACCAATTGGGTTAATTTTTTTCAGCTATTGTGCATGCTTTACAAATTACATTCTTGCAATATTTTAATTCTTTGTTTGATTGTGTCTATGTATACTTACGATGCATCTCGCTTGGCAATTATATTCGTATAATAAGTCATATAAAAACCACATATGTATTACCAAGATGAACCTGAGCTTTGGGTGTTTTTTAAAACTGCTATACGTACACAATTAACGAATTGCAATTTTGGGGAGGGAGCGCGCTGGGAAATTAATTTACAATGAAATGATCAGAACAGAATATATAATCTATTTGTACAAAGGAGAAAAGATTTATGTCATAGGTGTGCCTTTTAAACATTGTACAATTGCGCTGATAGTTTTTTCAACTTGTTATATTCAAATCTTGCTTGTTTTGTGAGGTTGGCACATTGGCGACCACTAGCAGCAAACTTCTAACCTCACTTGTTTCTGTCACTGTCTAATAAGGTCGCTCAAATTTAACATTTCGGTTGTTTACTCCGTCCAAAAAGGAAATCAATGCAAGAACTTCGATCTTATAAATGTCGCTCACCTTGTACTTGCGATTTACAACCAATCCTCGCTTCATCACGTGAGTTTTTTTCATTATAAATTAAAACATTAATTATGAGCTTGTGTGATTTATATCCATAAAATTTGTTTGAACTGTTTTTGAGCGCAAGGTTTATTGTCTTATCACATTACATAGAACAAGTGCCCTCGTTTAAACATTTACCAATTAAGGATAAACGAATATACAAAAGAAAACAAAAAATGTACAATCATGCATAATACGCCACACCAATATAATAGCGTTCCGTTTACCTCTCGTTTTTGTAATCATCGTAGAATGGATTTTTGAATTAATTAATTAATGCTCAATGCGCCATATAAAAATCATAGCTGTTCTTATTCTTATAACATTGTAACTCGTAAGGTAATCATAACAAACAAATATTTACGGCACTAAGAATATGTATATTCGTTAGCGGACATGATAAATAATGCAGTCCACGTCCCGAACTTGTGTAGCTTCGAAGTGATATATTTCTAATCAATGAGAAATTGATTGGAGGTATATACGAACCAAACGGATGCTATTACTTATCCACTAAAAGAAAATAACGTTAGCGCTACGTGTATTTACTTGTAAATGCAGCCAATGTCGACCTAAACAAGCTATATACCGAAAAGTGTATTAGACATATCTTTCCGATTCACAAAAGTGCAATATTTTTCGTTGGAAGCCCAATTGAAATGTGTTGTAATATGAAACGAATGAGCACATTCAACAACAATGATAAACTTATAGCAATATTTATGTAAGTCGAAATGCGAGTACATAAGCCATTTTTTAAAAAAGAAACAACTTTATAGAAAAAGTGAAAATATTTGTTGTCCAAGTTTGGTTATGTTCGCAAGAGTTTCATCAGATTCAATGTATGCACTTGCATAGTATTCCAGCATACTAGCGACTACTGTTTTTTATCTTTGGGATCTATTTGTAAACACATCTGTAGTTCCGATCGACTTTTGATCATAAATTCTAGCAGATTCGATTGTGCTGTCAATAGATTCGGATTGGTTGATGCCGCTGAAGAATTATTTTTGCAATCACACTCTTATAGAGTTCAAAATCTACTTGTCCCCGTGTAATCAGCTCTGCTCAATTATCCAAGTGAGATTGTTGTAGTTGCACTTGAAATCATGATCAAAACTAAACGATATGTGCAATGTGACAGTTTAGAGGGCGTTTCATGTGAATGTGACCTAACCTCTAACGATTATATTTTTGCTGAGGTTGAAATAAGTTTGGCTTTTAGTGGATTTTCTGATCTATTTAATAATGATGAGAATATTTGTGTATATGGTAGGTGCTTCTAGTGCTACTATATGATGACTATTATATTAATTGATAGTTCTGATTTCTGAAAATATATAAAATGGAAAATACATGTGCGTTTTTTTTGTTTTGGTTGACAGGTAATAAAATTTAAAAATAATCCAATTAAAAAAATAACACTCTGGTTACTGACGCTAAAAAATAAAGCCGGCCCTGTGCATTTCATCACGACGCGAATATTTTGCATATGACAGGTTAGGTTCCTTCGGCGTTGTTGCGCCGAGAAGGCACTATTCAAGTTGGCAACACTGGACTACATGCCGGCTCTACTCTAGTCTTCCTTTGGCACTCGCGTATGTTGCAGCCGTTTATCGTAACTTCGTCCCTGGTTTCGCCGGTTATATTTGTTCATCCACCCGCGAGTGAGAAAACCCCGCCTGAGCTCATCTATCTCTCTGAAGGTACAGTATTCTTTAACTTATTTATGTCCTAAATTATAAAATATGCACTTATTGCATTCGCGAAACACTGCCATATTTAAAGAATTGTTGTTGTATGGTTAGGAGGCTCTGGTTTCACTCTGGTTTTTTATTATTGAGGCGCTCAATGCAAACAAAGCGCCGTATAAACCTGAGCGCAGGGTCTAAAGATGTAAAATTAAATTGAATGTATGTATGTATTTAATTTTTATAAGAGAAACACTGATGCAATACGATTTATGATTTAATATTGGACTCATACTTGTAAAACGCTGATTTAAATTTGAGCATCACGCCTCATCTAGATTTGACTTATTGTATTTTTGTATAAAACTGCTGCTTATTTAGACAGGGTAGTGCACGCACACTTTCTCGTACGTATGGCACACGGACACTACCATCTAAATCCGTTACATCTCACTGACTCATAGAAAAATCAACACTGTCACACATGCGCGCCACACTACTTGAAACACTTTGTATTTTTATGAGGTACTAGAAAGTGCCCTCAGATGGCGCAACAATGCAGGTTTAACTAATAATATTTCAGCGAGTGAATCGTTGCCGTCGGATGACGGCCGGCGATGTTTTGTGAACACCAATAATTAATTGAGTTGTGAAAAACATCAGCTGATGGTTACGGACTAAGGTGCTACATGGTAAATATTGTCATTCTTATCATTATTACACGAATAATGAATTTTAATTTAAAAAGTGAGTTCCGACGGAACTCAGATTCATTTCAATATGGCACGAAATACTGTAACTAATGTTTTGTTTCACATTTATTTCAGTATATACCAACTTGTCTTCGATTTGCCGTCTTACATAACTGGCAAGTAAAATAATTTTATTATTTATAGAAAGCGTTTGCCGTGTATCTAGATTTTACTTTGGTTCTATGTTTTAATGTTTTTGTGCAATGTTACCAAATGACAAAGTTCTTTCTGCACGAAAAGTAAGAATGGAAATTTGAAGTTTTTGTTCTTCTTATCTTTGTAAAATTATTATATTTATATTTAACTATTTTATATTCTAATCTAATAGAGAATTTTCCCATCTTTCATAATCTGCAATTCGTTGGATTCTAGCGCTTTTAGTTTAGCTAAATTGCGATTTGATAGGCTTTAGTAAATTGCTTATGATTGGTATTTTCATGCAATATCAACTTTGTTGCATATTTGATAAAATGTGTTTTGAAGTTAATCCTGCCGTTACCAGATAGTCGTTTAGATGGCACTACGATGTACGTTTTCGCGTTAAATATTGCTTGTCGGTGGTAGTGACTGCACACCGTGTCCGTGTGCGATCACGCGATTTCGCACAAGAGTTTGTTTACCTGCAGATATCGAATCTTTATTTCTTGGAATAAAATCACATCTAGCAGTTTATATTGCCATTGTAAATTTTAGCAAGTATTCTTCAATTCATAAATCATTAATATAAATAACAATTTTACATTAGGTGGAATAGTTTATTATAAAAATCATCATCAGCAAAACATTCTTATCATCAGCAGATCACTTAAGCAGATATCACTTAAATATTTGATGTAAAATCTGGCAAACCTTCAGCATAATAATAAATTATGAATTACATAAATCGAATTTTAATTTATCATTAATTTCAATACCTACTTAATCTAAATTATGGGACTACTACTTGTATCATTCATAATAGCACTAGCATGATATAAAAATCGTAAAGTAGACTTGTATTGTTTATTTCTAGATTTTTCATCAAACGTAGGCATTTGTCACGAGAATTGTGTTTGCTTTGAACACAATTTACGCCTTTTTATTGCGTTGCGAATACGTCTCACGTCTCGCTATGCTTGTGTTCTAGTATAGTTTAAATCGCCGGCTTCGTGTCTATCGCAATTGGTGCACAAGGGCGCGTGCTATCCTTGCGCCGGCTTTACGCATTTGGGCAGCTGGTATTATTATCATTAATTGTCGGGACTATGTTTGCATGGCTAAGGCACAGCAAGCACTATTTTTAATACTTTGTTGTATCGACAATTTTCCGTAAATTAATAATTTTCATCTGTTCCTCTCTTCCTAGAATACATTACAAGATATTCGCGAACGAAAAAACTCATAAAAAAGCGTTTCCGGAATTTTATTTTTTTTATCTTATCTTATAGAAAATTTTCCAAACTTTCATAATCTTCAATCCGCTGGTTGCTACCGCTTTTAGTTTAGATAGTCGCTACGGAAAATTCTCAAAATAAGATGATGTGCGATAAACACAAAGTCCCAAACACCATTTTAGTAGTTAATGTAAAATCTTTTATTAATTTACATAATCTAAATTCCGCGTGCCCAGATGGCATCTGAATGAACTAAAAATCGTAAAATAGAGTTGTATTGTTTATTTCTATATTTACCGACAAACAGAAATCGACACGAGAATTGCTTTTGTTTTGTATACAATTTCTTATCGCATTCCCGTGTGTCGTTGCCATCCTCTCACGCCGCATGTTGCCGCGTCATAGTTTAGTTTTGATCGCAGATACCGTGCCAACTGCAAATCGCACACAAGGTCGCATGCCGTCGACGCACCGGTTTTACGCACCTCTTGCTTTCTTATCATAAACTGTCGCGTCGTTGCTTGTTCGGCTACGGCACGCACTATCCACGGACAGTTTCGTGCCGGTCTTTGGTTGGTCCACACGCATTTCTCGCGACTCGTATCGTTTGTTCGGACTTGTGCTTTTGACTTGCGACTATAGTAATGTTATTTATTATTTACGCGTTTATTGTCCAGCCGGTTTTTAATCGCCCTTAAAGTGTGAATCGGATACATATCTCCACCATGTTGATTTATTCCTCATTAGGATGACCCATCGTGCTGCTGTAAGAAACTTTTAACTGGACAGCTCAGAGTGTTTGTTTTTCTCCGCTGTGGGAATATAATATTCATAAATCGTATGAAATATTTTTGTTTTAATTTATGTTTTCTTTTTTTTTTATTTACAGTATTTGCCGGACCTTGGAGTTCGAGGAGTTCTGCATTGGTAAGTTTATCATTCAATCATATATTTCGTTTTATGTTCTGCGTCCATCATTACTTTGCATTTATGTGTTTTCTTTTTCGTCGCGGTCAACCGCCTTCTACTAAAGCGTTAGCATTAAATAATTTAATTATTTTTTGTTATTGAGAGTAACGTCTTACAAACTTGGGCGCGGGGTCCAAATTTGCAGAATTAAATTCTCTATCCAGTTGTATTTAATTGTTGCAAGAAAAGCGCTTATACGATACGATTTATGATTTAATATTTGAAACAAACTTGTAAAACTCAGCTTTAAATTTGAACATCACACCTCATATAGGTTAGATTTATTGCATTTGTATACAAAACTGTAATATTTATTTAAATTTCACGTGATAGAAACATGATGCAGTATCCGCATTTGCCAATTTTTCCTTATTAATTGTTATTTTAAATTAACAATTTAGCTAGCGTATCTTATAGGGAATTGTGCGTAGAATAGTCCCTGCGATTTGTACCGATTTATCTCTTTTACTTTACGAGATAGTCGCAATTGACTAAAATGGGGAAAAATTGAAAAATGTCATTTTTTAGCACTTTTAGTCGCGTTTTTCGACCTTTTACTTTTGGAAATATAATTATTTTATATTTTTATCTGATAGGGAATTTTCTAGTCTTTTATAATCAGCAATTCGTTGGTTGCTATCGCTTTTAGTTTAAGAGATATTAATTATCAATTATTGGCAATTTTTTCTTAAGAATTAAAATTTCATCTCTTAGATTTCCGCTTTAACTAGCCTATCTTATAGAGAATGGTCGGTAGAATAGTCTCTGCGATTTGTACCTATTTATCTCTTTTAGTTTACGAGATATTCGCGATTGAATAAAATGGGCAAAAATTGCAAAATGTCACTTTTTAGTACTTTTAGTGGCGTTTTTCGACCTTTTACTGTAAGAAATATTTTGACTTTAATTTAAAGCATGTGAAAAGATCAGGACTTCTGTGCGGATTTCGACCTGCAATTTGCGAAAATTTGCACAAAAGGGCGGCTTTTTTACCATTTTCGTGAAATGTGTGTATTTTTTTGGGTTTGCACGCTACCTTGGCGGCGCAGTATCTTCAAAGCAGGGTGTTGAGATTCGGAATTAAAATTCCTGTTGGGTTGTGTTAGTTAGCGGCTATGAGGCTATTATGAGGCTATTATGAGGCTAGCGGTAGAAGTAACTCGTGTTCAGGGCGCCTTACGAGGTTAGCGGTAGAAGTAACTTGATTCAGGGCACCTTACGAGGCAAGCGGTATTAGTGACTCGTGTTCAGGGCATCTTACAAGTCTAGCGGTAGAAGTGACTCCTGTTCAGGGCACCGTATAAACCCGGCGAAAATTTGGATAAAAGGTTGATTTTTTCACTTTTTATCTTGAAATGTGTGTATTTTTCGGGTATGCACGCGATCTTGGCGGCTCAGAATATTCGGCGCGGCATTTAGAGATGCGAAATTAAATTCTCCATCGGTTGGTACTTGTTTGTTGCATGAATTCGACTTGCAACCCGCGATTGCATAAGAATGTGATATTTTCACCCGCTATCGTGAAATATGTGTATTTTTTCGGGTTTGCACGCGATCCTGGCTACTCAGAAAATTCAGCGTGGCGTCTAGAGATGCGGAATTAAATTCTCCGTCGGTTGGTCTTTGTTTGTTGCAGGAATTCGGCTTGCAACCCGCGAAAAATTGCATAAGAAGGTGATATTTTCACTCGCTATCGTGAAATATATGTATTTTTTCGGGTTATTGTGAAATATTTGTATTTATTCGAGTTTGCACTCGATCTTGGCTACTCAGAAAATTCAGCGCAGCGCCTAAAGATGCGGAATTAAATTCTCCGTCGGGTGGTATATGTTTGTTGCAGGAATTTGACTTGCAACCCGCGAAATTTGCATAAGAAGGTGATATGTTTACCCGTTATCGTGAAATATTTGTATTTTTTCAAGTTTGCACGTGATCTTGGCTACACAGAAAATTCAGCGCGGTGTCTGGAGATGCGGAATTAAATTCTCCGCCGGGTGGTATATGTTTGTTGCAGGAATTTGATTTGCAACCCGCGAAAATTTGCATACGAAGGTGATATTTTTACCCGTTATCGTAAAATATTTGTATTTTTTCAAGTTTGCACGCGATCTTGGTGGTTCCGAAAATTCAGCGCAGCGCCTAAAGATGCGGAATTAAATTCTCCGTCGGGTGGTATATGTTTGTTGCAGGAATTTGACTTGCAACCAGCGAAAATTTGCATACGAAGGTGATATTTTTACCCGTTATCGTGCAATATTTGTATTTTTTTCAAGTTTGCCCGCGATTTTGGAGGCTCCGAAAATTAAGCACGGCGTCTAAAGATGCGGAATTAAATTCTCCATCGGGTGGTATTTGCTTGTTGCAGGAATTCGATTTACAACCCGCAAAAATTTGCGTAAGAAGATGATATTTTCACCCGTTATCGTGAAATATTTGTACTTTTTCGGGTTCGCGCGCGATCTTGGCGGCTCAAAAAATACAGCGCGGCATCTAGAGATGCGGAATTAAATTCTCCGTTGGTTGGTATGTGTTTGTTGCACGAATTCGACTTAGAACCCGCGCAAATTTGCATACGAATGTGACATTTTCACCCGTTATCGTGAAATGTTTGTGTTTTTTCGGGTTTGCACGCGATCTGGGCGGCGTAGTTGCTTCAGCGGGGCGTCTAGAGATGCGGAATTAAATTCTCCGTCGGGTGATATTTAATTGTTGCAGGTATTCGGCCTGTAACTCCCGAAAATTTGTATATGAGTGTAATTTTTCAACCCTTTTTCGTGAAATGTTTGTGTTTTTTCCGGTTTGCACGCGATCTAGGCGGCGTAGTTGCTTCAGCGGCGCGTCTAGAGAAGCGGAATTAAATTCTCCGTCGGGTGGTATTTGTTTGTTGCAGGAATTCGACTTACAATTCACGAAAATTTGCATAAGAAGATGATATTTTCACCCGCTATCGTGAAATATTTGTATTTTTTCGGGTTTGCCCGCGATCTTGGCGGCTCAGAAAATTCAGTGCGGCGTCTAGAGATGTGGAATTAAATTCTTCGTCGGGTGGTATTTGTTTGTTGCGGGAATTCGACTCACAACTCGCGAAAATTTGCATAAGAAGATGATATATTCACCCGCTATCGTGAAATATTTGTATTTTTTCGTGTTTGCACGCGATCTTGGCGGCTCAAAAAATTCAGCGCAGCATCTAGAGATGCGGAATTAAATTTTCCGTCGGGTGGTATTTAATTGATGTAGGAATTCGACCTACAACCCGCGAAAATTTGCATATAAGTGTAATTTTTCAACCCATTTTCGTGAAATGTTGGTGTTTTTTGGGTTAGCACGCGATCTAGGCGGCGTAGTAATTTCTGCGGGGCGTCTAGGGAAGCGGAATTAAATTCTCCGTCGGTTGGTATTTGTTTGTTGCAGGAATTCGGCTTGCAACCCGCGAAAAATTGCATAAGAAGGTGATATTTTCACCCGCTATCGTGAAATATATAATGTATTTTTCGGGTTATTGTGAAATATTTGTATTTATTCGAGTTTGCACTCGGTCTTGGCTACTCAGAAAATTCAGCGCGGCGTTTTGAGATGCGGAATTAAATTCTCCGTCGGGTGGTATTTGTTTGTTGCAGGAATTCGATTTGCAACCCGCGAAAATTTGCATCAGAAGGTGATATTTTCATCCGTTTTCGTGAAATATTTGTATTTTTTCGGGTTTGCACGCGATCTTGGCGGCTCAGAAAATTCAGCGCGGCGTCTGGAGATGTGGAATTAAATTCTACGTAGGGTCCTATTTGTTTGCTGTAGGAATTTGACTTGCAAACCGCAAAAATTTGCATAAGATGACATTTTCACCCGTTTTCGTGAAATATTTGTATTTTTTCAAGTTTGCACGCGATCTTTGCGGCTCCAAAAATTCAGCGCAGCGCCTGAAGATGCGGAATTAAATTCTCCGTCGGGTGGTATATGTTTGTTGCTGGAATTTGACTTGCAACCCGCGAAATTTGCATAAGAAGGTGATATGTTTACCCGTTATCGTGAAATATTTGTATATTTTCAAGTTTGCACGCGATCTTAGCTACACAGAAAGTTCAGCGCGGCGTTTAAAGATGCGGAATTAAATTCTGCATCGGGTGGTATTTCCTTGTTGCAGGAATTCGATTTGCCACCCGCGAAAATTTGCATAAGAAGGTGATATTTTTATCCGTTATCGTGACATATTTGTATTTTTTTCAAGTTTGCACGCGATTTTGGAGGCTCAGAAAATTTAGCGCGAGTTTAGAGATGCGGAATTAAATTCTTCGTCGGGTGGTATTTGTTTGTTGCAGTATTTCTACCTGCAACCCGCGAAAATTTGCGTAAGAAGATGATATGTTCACCCGTTATCGTGAAATGTTTGTATTTTTTTCAATTTTGCGCGCGATCTTGCCGGCTCAAAAAATTCAGCACGGCGTCTAGAGATGTGGAATTAAATTTTCCGTTGGGTGGTATATGTTTGTTCCAGGAATTTGATTGGCATCCCGCCAAAATCTGCATAAGAGGGTTTTTGCAGCGGTTTTCGTGAAATGTTTGTAATTTTTCGGGTGTTTGAGATGCGGAATTAAATTCTTGATCGGGTGGTATTTGTTTGTTGCAGGAATTCGACTTGCAACTCGCGAAAATTTACAAAAGAACGTGATATTATTTCCCGTAATAGTGAAATATTAGTATTTTTTCGGATTTGCACGCGACCTAGGGGGCGCAGAATATTCGGCGCGGCGTTTAGAGATGCGGAATTAAATTCTCCGTCGGTTGGTATAGCTTTGTTGTAGGAATTCGATCTGGAACCCGCGAAATTTTACATAAGAAATGAATTTTTCCCCCTTTATCGTAATATGTTTGTATTTTTGCGGGTTTGCACGCAATCTTGGCAGGCTCAGAAAATTCAGCGCGGCGTCTGGAGATGCGGAATTAAAGTCTCTATCGGGTGGTTCTTGTTTGTTTGTTGCAGGAATTTGACTTGCATCCCGCCAAAATCTGCATAAGAAGGTGATATGTTTACCCGTTATCGTAAAATGTTTGTATTCTTTCTGGTTTGCACACGATCTTGGCGTCTCCCTCTGTAGTTTCTAAAGTTTTCTTTTTGTAACACCATGTATATTAGTTTTCCTAATACTACGTAGAAAATCGCCGGTATTTGTGAGTTTTGAGTGTTCTTTGTTTTAACTAGAGATTTTCTTTCTGAAACACACTGTATATTCATGTTCTTTGTGTCCGTGAAAATTTTGCTTTAACTGTTGTTTTTAAGGTTTTTCTCATTGCCCTTTGAATTTTCTTTTTGTGACACCCTGTATATTAGTTTCCCGAATGATATTTATAGTGTTAAAATGTTTTTCTGTTTTCACATTAAATTTTTCATTTGTAACACCTTGTATAGTTGTTTCCATTTTCAATACTTGCTTACATGTACAAAGAAATGTGAAGAAGCATATAATATTACATTGTGTTTTATTTATATAACAATGGATTTTATGATTATAATCTAAACACCTCTTTAATTGAATAATAAAAGACTAGGTCCATTAATAACCATTTATATTAAACACTAACTAGCACAGTGATATTTTGTCAATATGTATTAGTAATTTTTGTTTTTAAAATTATAACGTGGTATTTAAAGAAAAGGTCCTTTGTGATTAGGTGGAATGGATTTGAAAATTTTTATTCAGTTAGTATTTTATTTAGAATCAGGTTCTTACTATAGGCCACCCAATCTACAGAAAAATTTCAACAATGTAGGAAATGCGTTTACTATCGATTTGAGGCAAGTGATAATTCAAATACAATGTATTACATAGTCCAATATATTTCTAGCATTTAAATAACAAGGATAAAGCAGGTTGCAAATACTGCTTGTCTATGATTTAAAAAATTAAAATACTCTTCTTCATTGCAGAATCCGGTAACTCTCTTTGTGTAAGCTTACGAAATTCATCACTAGATTGCGCTGGTGCAGCTTTGACTGCAAAATAATACCAACATACCAAATACTCAATACTTGTATTACTCAATCTGCTAAGCCTTGTTTATATACAACGTGACGATAGAATACGCAAATTTGAAAACCTGCAAATAAAGGAATTTTTTAATTTTCTTTCGGTTAAGAAAACTTGTCCATCATACAGATAGTACAACCGTGCATGAAAACGATGTATAATTTCCAAGTGGCACTGACAAGTTGTGGTTGAAATTCATATTCATTAACATTAAAATCCGTACACTTTTCACGTCACCATCCCATGGACATGCATAAAAGGTGGCTCGCCGTATTTTTTCACCCTAGAACGGATGAATCAATCAGATTACGTATAGTCACAAGTAATTGGACTAACAAGAGCTATTATTCTTTCACCCATCCATCCCAAGCCATATACCACAATAGTGTACAACATAACATGACACAGGCAGAGCACATCGAAACGCTAAAAATACATTATTTAGACATTTTCAGCAAAATATTGTATAAGTTATTTATAGACTATAAACGCTGTTATAATAATTAGCGCAATTATCAATCCACTGAACGTGATCAGTACAAATCCAGGCCATTTAACGAAATGCGTCAGAAGCACCCACATCCTACAAAGAAACGACATTATTATCAAGAATAATATCGTCATCTACAGCGTAGCGCCCTACCTCGTCATATACAAATGCTGATGATGTGCCTTAATTAATTTGCGATATCGTATAGTTTTAATTTTTATACATTTAGCTTCTCTTAAAGTATTTTTGAATACGTTGCAAAATGACTCCAAATATAATATCAGACAGTACATTAAGAACACTGCATTCATGATTCCAAATCCCGAATAAATAAGAAAACATACAGTTGCCAAGTTGTAGAGTATACGGTACGGGCGTTCAATGTTATCAAGGAAGAAATACTGAAACATGAATAATATTCAATAACTTTAATAGAAATAAATAAATAAATAAATAAATAAATACACTTGGTAAAACGTATCCGCATGAATAAGGCTGCGAGTGATTGTCGCAATTTTGCAATTCAACCGCCAACGTGGTGGATACAGCAAACATGACAGAGTAGACATAAAAAATGACCAGAATCTTATTGTTCCACTGAAAATCGCGTAGCAATTTCGGATCGCGCAGACACAGATGCGGATTTTTATTAACCATTGTGTAGATTAACTCAGATCTTTTAAAATTCCATTTGACGTGATAGATAAAAAAGAAGGAGCTAATTGACGATAAAAGTGTGGATAGATTGAAAGACATATCGGCAAAAGTTGTTCCATCTTTGTTATTGTACTCGTTAATGAGATAGCCAATATTTCCATAATAAAATGTTAATGCACCAAACAAATACAACGCTTCGCCCAATACATTTCGGATGGCACTCTTACCATATCCATAGAATTTTGAAAACGAGTCTGCGCTTTTTAATAAAGTGTTTATTGTTGTAGTTTGTTGCATTCTTATAAGTAGAACATGAAACACATCATAAACTTTTTTAATATGATTACCAGACCAACACATGCGAACACAACATCTATAAAAAATGATAAATAAATTATGATATATACCTATATTAGGAAAATAATGCTTATATAATTATAAATGCAAAAGTGAGTTTATTCATTTGTTTATTTGTAACGCTTTTACGCGCAAACTGTTTAAGCGATTATCATCAAATTTTGTACATATATTTTCAAGAGTATCGCGAAGAACATAGGTTACTTTTATTAAAAAAATACACTACTTTTGATTGCCAAAAAAATTTATATTGGTGAGCCTCGATCGTGGACTAAAAGTTTCTATAAGTATATAATTCACATGGAGATGGCCCTAATTGTATTATTATCACTTACATCTTATTTTATTCTCTTATTTTCTAAGTCAGCACTAAATTGGATCCAGAAGCTGAAGCTGAACATCTACGCGGATGAGGTCACGGGCAACAGTTAGTGAATTATATTTCCTTGTCTTTATATGAATTTGGTTTTGGTATCATTATCATTATTGAGTTTTTAATATTTTATGCGTTGGTAGGTCCTTCGCTAATGTTGTCATGAATGATATTAATGATATAATGATATATATGACAATTTGGTTAAATTATTTATTAATTAATACATACAGGGTAATAATTTATAAAATATATTTATTAAAATAATTTGTGATTTTTCTTGGATTTTACAATTTGTTTGCGAGTTTAACATGTTTCGCCCTGTGGGCATCATCAGAAACTGATTAAATTTTTGTTCTAGGGGTGTTTTGTGTGTCAAATATCTCCCTTCTGCCTTTTTGTCTTTTGAATTTCGCGGCTATGTACAAAGCGCTGCAGAGCTCGTATCTGGCAAGTCTATACATGATTTGAAAGGTCTAGACATGACCTACAAAACGACGCTATGCATGATTAGTTTGGATATTGCGTTCAACAGTTATAGACGTGTAAACATGGAGTTCACTAACGCCGAAATTCGCGCTATTTTAAAGTTTTCCTTCGTTAAAGGCAAATCCGCTAGAGAAACGTTCCGTGAGATTAATGGTGTTTTGGGGGATTCAGAGCCGGTGAAAACGACACCATGGATAAGCCACCCGGCGGAAGACCTGTGACGACAAATACCGATAAAATCATGGAATACACCGAGTTAGACCGGCATGTGGCATCTCGTGACATCGCCCAGGAGATGGAAGTTAGTCACCAAACCATTTTAAACCATCTGCAGACGGCTGGATACAAAAAAAAGCTTGATGTGTGGGTGCCGCATGATTTGACGCAAAAAAAACCTTCTGGACCCAATCAACGCCTGCGATATGCTGCTGAAACGGAACGAACTCGACCCATTCTTGAAGCGAATGGTGACTGGCGACGAAAAATGGATCACGAAATGGATGGCGAAACATGTTAAACTCTACATATAAAATTGTAAATCCAATATACAATGAATTACGTATTCACAAATGAAAGTAATAACAAAGTAAAATAGTTGTATGCAGTCAGTTCGTTTCGAGCCTTGAAATCGATAAGACATACTTCCGTAAACTCTAATCTATATATATATAAAAGAAAGTCGTGTTGGTTACCTCCATTATAACTATAGAACTGCTAATCCAATTTAGCTAAAAATTGGTGGAGAGGTAGCTTAGAGCCAGGAGAAGGTAGTGGGATACTTTTTGAAATGAAAACTTTTCTAAAAAGGCACTAAACGACACTAAAAAGAGACAAACATATTTGCGTATATGGATTACCTTGCGGGAGAATAAGAGAACGCAAATACAAAGTTTTCTATTATCCCCGTCTCCTCTTTGTGCGATGCTTCGTAGCTTCCCCCCTAAGCATAGACGTGTGTATGTGTGTGTTGAAGTACTAGGATACTTTTTGAAGTGAAAACTCCTTTAGAGAACACTAAACGACACGAAAAGGAAACAAACATATTCGCTTATATGGTTTAGGCTATGGGAAAAAAGAGCACACAAATATAATATTTTCTATTATCTCCGTCTCCTCTTTATGCGATGCTTCATAGCTTCCCCCTTCCCCCTGTGTGTTTGCACCGCAAACAGAAGAGCGGCAGAAGTTTTCCAACTTCTCAGGAATTCTGTGTGGTGTGTTATTTAGTGCCGATAGTGCGTCGCCGCGGACGTAGACAATAAATATGTGGGATCATTTGTGGGATCGGTGAGTGTGAGTGCAGTTAGATGATTTAGATATTTGACGGTATTATTAATGCAACGACACTTGGTTTATTTCACGATGTATGTTTATTAAGAAGTCTTGTAGAGAAGTGTAAAGTAAGAAGTATGAAGAGAAGTGTAAAGTAAGAAGTGTAGTGAAGAACTGTCTTTCCTAAACCCTTGTCACTCACCAGCAACCCTTCAGGTTGATGGGTGGTGACAAGAAATTTGGAAGTAGGAAGAAAGTAATAGATTCGATTGGTAGAAAGTGTATGACATTGAAGAGGGAAAGCTGACCATTGGATTCTGGGAATCCGAGCCGTGCCAAACCGTCCGACTCGGGGATTAGGTTTTTCAAGGTAATAAAAGACATTAGGAAATTTGGGAATTTTGGATGAAGAATTACGGTATACAATAAAGATGAAGAAAGTTATAAAGTTTTGAAATATAGAAATAATCGTTGGGTAAAGATCCCCACAAATACATTAGGCTATACAATGGTGCAATAACAAGAATAACATCATCTTCTATCTATATATATAAAATTTGCGTGTCACAGTGTTTGTTTCCATACTCCTCCGAAACGGCTTTACCGATTTTTACCAAATTTTATATGCGTATTCAGTAGGTCTGAGAATCGGCTAACATCTATTTTTCATACCCCTAAGTGATAAGGGTTGTTCACCCTTAACTTTTTTTTAAATTTTTGGACAAATTCTTTTGTTTTTATTTTTTTTATAATGTGGAATTAAAAAATACATAAACCCTAAATTTTTAGCTTCTTATCACCAACCCCTATTTCTTTATAGTCATTTTCGTAATTTAATCATTTTTCATCCCGCTCAAAGAAAATTTTTATATGCGTATTCAGTTGGTCTGAGAATCGGTAACTTCATATCTCTAAGTGATAAGGGTTGTTCACCCTTAATTTTTTTTAAATTTTGGTCGAAATTTTTTGTTTTTATTTTTTTAATGTGGCATTAAAATATACATACAACCCTAAATTTTTGGTTTCTTATCACCAACCCCTATTTTTTATAATAAGTAAGTTACTTTTTGTCTACACTAAAATTTATCTAGAAACTTGAAATAATTTATATGGCAAAACAACGTTTGCCCGGTTAACTAGTCTATATATAAAATTTGCGTGTCACAGTGTTTGTTTCCATACTCCTCCGAAACGGCTTTACCGATTTTTACCAAATTTTATATGCGTATTCAGTAGGTCTGAGAATCGGCTACTATCTATTTTTCATACCCCTAAGTAATAAGGGTTGTTCACCCTTAATTTTTTTTAAATTTTGGTCAAATTTTTTTGTTTTTAATTTTTTAATGTGGCATCAAAAATACATACAACCCTAAATTTTTGGTTTTTTATCACCAACCCCTATTTTTTATAACCATTTTAGTAATTTATTCATTTTTCATACCGCTCGAAGGAATGAGACTGAAGCCGATCTTCTTTTTCACCCACACAATAAGACTTCTGTCACTCCCTACACAGTTTTCGGCCATCATTATGGTATATGTATCAAGTGTAGTAGTAACGTTTACAATTATCATATTGCTATCTCAGTGTAACTTTCATATTAACTCTTAATTACTAACAGACCCAACAGATTTCGTTCTGTCAAAAAGATTTGGAATGTGGCAGATTTTGTTCCTCCCTATTTTATAGTCGGTCCAAAAAATTCTCCTGAACAGAACCGAAACCTTTTCAAGAGCAAATTATATTAGTGGGACCCACTAAAACACCCCGAATGGTGTCACGTACAATGCTTAGTGATCATAGATAATTAACCACTTTGTCCAAAACACGAAATGAAACAATCAAACAATAATGAATCGAAGAAAGCTGCAAAATTTGTTTCGTTTGTCAGTTGACCAAAGAAAACTTAGTAGAAAATACTTTGCGCAAAACACCATATAAAACAATAAATCAAAAATAAATCCAAGAATGCTGCGGAATTTGTTTCGTTTATCGGTTGAAAAAGAAAATTCAGCTTTTCCTCGTTTTTCCGGCAATTATTCAAATTTTTCTTGCCGTAAAAACCACCCCTAGGCTTTAACAAACATTAGAAAAAAAGGAAAAGGCCAAATTGCTCTAGGCGTTGTTGAGTAAAGCGGTTAACAACATATTTTGCGTATCATTTTTATATTATAGATTACTATTTTATTCATAATAATAAATTATTAATTTTAATTGCAATATATTATTAATTTTAAGTGTATTTGGCACGATTAGTTCAGTTAATCAAGTTTTACATACTTATACACTTATAATATGTAAGTTACTTTTTGTCTACACTAGAATTTATCTAGAAACTAGAAATAATTTATATGGCAAAACAACGTTTGCCCGGTTAACTAGTAATATGTATATCAACACTCTTAATGTTAGAAATACAATAGATACGTAGATAGTATGTAGATAGTAAACACAGACCCTTGGGCTAACAATTATATATCGCTGGAACTATATTAGACAAATAAGATTGCAACAGCGATCGGCACCTAAGTGTCATTCCTTAACGCATGATAACGCATGATAATTAAGCTATCTCAAGATTGTACAAATCACGAAGGGTCACTGCCCTCGGTCAAGTATGTACTCATAGTTTTGCACTTAGATATTTTGGAAGAATAAAGTTAGTAGTTACTGAGCAAACATCGAGTGAAGATCGCCTCACTTCTCCGAGCACCTCTAAGACTCTCCGCTGCCTTACAACCAGCGTAAAATCCCATACATCAGTCCTTCTGCTCTAAGCTTTGAAACCTGCGCCATCTTCAGAGCGCACGCTGGCTTCACAGTGTGTGTGTTTGTACGAGTTGGTTAAAGTTGCCCAGTTGATGTGTTTGTTTGGATAAGATTTAGTAAGTGTAGGATACTTTTTTTAATACTGTTTGAAGTGAAAACTTCTTTGGAAAATACTAAACGAGTTTTCTCCGTCTCTTCTTTGTGCGATGTTTCGTAGCTTCGCCACTCAACATGCAGCACCCAAAACGATCAAATCTTATCCGACAAAACCGTAATGCAACTGGGATTCGAAGGATTGCGAATGAAAGGACTGAAGAAGAACAAAAATTGCACGTGAAAAGCGCCGTGTTAGTATGACTCGACTTCGTGCTTCTCAATCACAAGAGCAAAGCGAGGCGGAACAAAGTTTGCCGGGTCAGCTAGTTTTGAATAAACGGCAATCTTCCAAAATTAAACTTCGTAATTATTGAATAAAATCACCGCTACCTAAATCCATAATTCCAACAAAACCAATGCAAATCAATGCAAACGTTTGTCAAATGGTAAGCGGTGGAAATCGGGTTTTATAGTGTATAGTTATAAAGAGAATATAAGTAGGTACACTTTAGGTTCACGAAACGTACATGTATGTGCAATTTTCCGAACAAGAATGGACTGCGTCGTATTATATTATATTATTCTAATGCTTTTTTTGTTTCCATGTCAGATAACTCTGCGTGAGGTTCTTGGTCGTCACACTGATTTTATTTTAACACTATGTATTTAGGTTTTACTTTTTATCAAGAATCTTGCACCAGCATTAAAATCCATCAATTTTACTAAATGGACAAAACTTTTTCAAACTTTTCAAAACTTTTTTGCAATCCGGGAAAATTTGCATAAAATGGCGATATTTTTACCCTTCTTTGTGAAATATTCGTCTTTTTTCGAGTTTGCACGCGATCTTGGCGGCTCCCTTTGTAGTTTCTAAAGTTTTCTATTTGTAACACCATGTATATTAGTTTTCCTAACACTACGTAGATAATCGCCGGTATTTGTGAGTTTTGAGTGTTCTTTGTTTCAACTACAGGTTTTTTTCGGAAACACCCTGTATATTCATTTTTCTTTGTATGCGTGAAAATTTTGCTTTAACTGTTGTTTTTAAAGTTGTTATCATTGCCCTTAGAATTTTCTTTTTTGTGGCACCCTGTATATTAGTTTCCCGGAGCCTCTGGTGAAAAACGAATGATATTTATAGTGTTAAAATGTTTTTCTGTTTTCACATTAAATTTTTCATTTGTAACACCTTATATAGTTGTTTCCATTTTCAATCACCTAAAAAATGAGCTATTTGCTAATTTCTGTATCCCGGTAGAACATTATTACGTGGTACTTGCTTACATGTGCGTGGCTATGCAGGTTTCAATATGGCGACATGTATTCTGTTGACTTGTAAAGTTTAAACTTGTATTCTATTATTAATAAAGAAATAGTAAGATATACTGGCTTCTTTGATTTGTGTACCCCTTCTATCATTTCAGGAAAAGTTCCCTCTCTCAGGGGATGATCCCCTCTATAGAAATTGTTAAGGTCACCTGTATGATTTGTGTACTCCTTCTTTCATTTCAGGTACAGGTCAGATCTTGTAAGAATATTTTTAAGTGTCGCCCCTCTTGAGACGACTTAAAACTTAGAAATATTTGAGGAAGGATTGTCCTTATAAGGAGTTCCCTCTCTCCGGGGGTGATCCCCCACCATAAAAATTGTTGATATGCCTGAGAATTTCGGGGATGAAGCGCAGAGACATCGTAGCTGTAGGATGGGCCGGGAGCAATGGACGCATCGAAGCAGTGGGCCTAGTAGACTGTCTTATAACGACACGTGCCAAAAAATTTAAAAATTCCGTCACCCCTATTCTCTTTTCTTCCTGTACTCTCTCTTCTCTACTCTGTTCTCTTCCTTCTGTCTTCTACTCTTCTCTGCTATTCCTTCTTCTACTTCTCCTATTTCTCTGTTCTCCGTTTCTCCACTTACTTACTTTCTTACTTCTCTTATTGCCTTCACTTGTATTGCAACTTCTCTTATATTTCGTTGCAATTCACATATGCAACCCAAATTACACCTGTTATTTTTATATTTGAGAAAAATGCCTCCAACACCTGAGATTCGATCCGTGTCTACTAGCATGCCAGCAGGTGCACGTATCCACTCGACCACCGAGTGATTTTATCATTGTTATTTGATTCTTCTATTTATGATTCTACTTTTTCAACGTTTTAAAAACAACAACAGCTATATATTGTACACGCTCGACGCACTTAAGATTTATATGGAATATGATTTAAAACATCAATCCTGCAAACGGCAAAGGGGAAACCAGAAAGAAATATGAAGAAGTATATAATATTACATGATGTTTTATTAGCAACATTAAAAACTACATAGATTTATTTAAAATCGAAAATCATAGACAGCTCTTAAATCTCCTGAAAGTAAAACTTGCCTTGTAATACGCGCATCTCTAACATTTCTGCGGCGGAAGCGGTAGACTCCTTGGCACAAGTGCTCTTAAACTTCTTCAACAGGCATCAACGTTGTTTATTTATATTAATTAAAACACACAACACAAGGTGCAAGCAAACATTAAAACACAAACAACTATAATACAATACAAAACATTTACATATAAAAACGAATTCTACGTGGACAATAACAAACATGTATGCACACATTAATACATAAGATAATACAGCAAAGTCATATACACAATAAAAGGTGTTCACACAAATCTAGGATTACGCGCACTGTTGTTGAAGCTTCTCTATCAGGCAAGGCGTTGAAAAATCCCATTGTAACACCCAAATTTACACATGTTGCCGACGCAACACCTGCAATTAACTAATGCCTCCCCACGGAGAATTTAATTTGACAACTCTAGAGACAACCCCTTCGCGAGTTAAAGCTAGACAACAACAGTGCGGCAACTACCAAATACTCTTATCCGCATTACAGCCAACAAATAAAACTCGTCCCATTGGCACAAGCAACTCTGCAAATTTTCAATAACAATCGTGAGGCGATTAAATGTGCAATACAGTGTAAACTCTTGATTACTTTTTAATAATGGACAAGACTGCTGGTAGCCAACCGATTATCCTCGGGCAAATACTTGGCACAGTATACACCAAAACTAAAATTAAATCACATTTAAAAACAGTAATACTAGAAACGGTCAGAAAAACATGTTCACAACAATAACAAGATATCGTTCCAACCCGACCTAAGCAAAGACTCAATTGCACGCGTATGAATTATAGACCAATACATGCGCGAACAGGTTAATTAAAATAAAGAAAGTCTGCCCTTTACCGTTTTTTCTCGGCTTCCACGCAGAATATTGTCCATGTTTCAATCCTTTGTCCAAATAATATCACAACAAAGTTACAAGACGTTGCATGCTACCTGTATCTCGCGAACGTGCTGTGTAAACAAAGTTGATAGCACGCGGTCATCTTGCAATACGCCCAACGAACGCAAAGAAAATTAACGACGATTTTGTATATGTATACTAATATAACACTAAGCACGACAGTAATGACTAAATGCGAACGCAAAGGAAATTAACGATTTTGTAATAAAACACTAAACACGTTAGTAATAGTTAAATGTTGCCGATGAACAAACGAAAAAAAAGGCGATTTACGGGATTACAAACTCAAAATTAAAAGATCACCGCCGTGAAACACACGCATGACACAACCAACGACCGGCACAAAACTGCGGTGAGAACACCACGCAGCGCAACAAAACGCGCACTATTTGCAACGAACAAGGTCGCATGCAGGCAGGCCAATTCAATCGAAATAAAAAGTTTCAAATCAACCACGAAAATGACTTGCTTAAAATTAAAGTCAAATTAAGGATATACCTTAGGTATTGTCAAATTGCATATTGAAACTATATCGCCGCTTGCGACAGTACTAAATGTATTATAATACAAAATCAAAGAAATAAGATAGGTATTGTCATATACACCTATTGAAACCGTAATACCACGTGCGCCAATACGAATTATATGCAAATAAAGTAGGTTTGTTATAATAAACAAACGATAAATATATGACAATTTGTCTTACTCTAATCTTATTCTTGTTATTCTAAGGTGTCCTGAACACGAGTCACTTCTACCGCTACTTTCATACGGTGCCCTGAACACGAGTCACTTCTACCGCTAGCCTCATAAGGTGCCCTGAACACGAGTCACTTCTACCGCTAGCCTCGTAAGGTACCCTGAACACGAGTCACTTCTACCGCTACTTTCATACAGTATTCTAAACACGAGTCACTTCTACCGCTAGCCTCGTAAGGTGCCCGGAATCGGATCACTTGTGCAAACATTAGACGAGAAAGGCTAAAACAAAAATACACTTTTATGCAAATTTAATTCCACATCTTTAGATGCTGCGCTGAATTTACTGAACCGCCAGTATCGCGTGTAAACCCAAAAAAATAAAAACATTTCGCCAAAAAAGCTGAAAAAATCACCCCTTTATGCAAATTTTCGTGCGTTGCAGGCTGAATTTCAGGAAAAAACAATGACCACAAGACGGAGAATTTAATTCCGTACTTCTACACGTCGCGTGGAATTTTTTGAGTAGCCAAGATCGCGGAAAAACCCGAAAAAATCCAAATAATTCATGATAACGGGTGAAAATATAATCTTCTTATGCAAAGTTTCGCGGATTGCAAGTCGAATTCCTGCAACCCAACGGAGAATTTAATTCCGCATCTTTAGACCCTGCGCTGACGTTAGTGAGCCGCCTAGATCCCATGCAAACACGAAAAAATACAAACATTTCACGAGAAAGGGAGACAAAAATCACCCTGTTATGCAAATTTTCGCGGGTTGCAGGCCGAATTCCGGCAACAAACAAATACCACCCGACGGAGAATTTAATTCCGCATCTCTAGACGCCGTGTCGAATTTTCTGAACCGCCAAGATCGCGCGCAAACCCGAAAAAATACAAATATTTCACGATAACGGGTGAAAATATCACCTTCTTATGCAAATTTTCGCGGGTTACAGGTAGAAATACTGCAACAAACAAATACCACTCGACGGAGAATTTAATTGCGCATATTTAGACGCTCCGCTGAATTTACTGAACCGCCAGGATCGCGTGCAAACCTGATAAAATCGAAACATTACACGAATAAGGCTGAAAAAATTAACCTTTTCATAAAATACAGAAATATCTAAAAAATCACCAAGGGATCGCGAGATATGACCAATTTTCCACGGCAAGTTTCGAAAAACACAAAAATAACAGCAACCTTTAGCGGCCATTTTGAGGCAGTTACAACCGAATTTCACGGGAATTCAGGAGTGAATTTTAAATATGAACTCTTGCACTATCATAAAATTCAGAAATAACTAAAAAATCACCAAGGGATCGCGAGATATGAACGATTTTAAACGGCAAGTTTTGAAAAATTCAAAAAAGAGTAAAATTTTGCGGCTTTTGGACAGAATTGCATCTTTCAGCATTCTTACGCTAACAGAATTCGCAGAAAAAAGATTATGTTAATTATTGTACTCGTATTAAGTAGCAATCCGAACAAACGATAGGTACGACTCGCGCGAAATACCAGTGCGTCTGAATGCCGTAGCCGAGCAAGCAGCGACGCGGCACGTTATGATAAGACCGTACCCCGCAAATGAAAGCAAGAAATGCGCAAAGTCGATGGCACGCGACCTTGAGTGCAAATTGCAATAGGCATGTACCGACATGCGATCAAAACTAAACTAGAATACGCTGCATGCGATACACGAACGCAGAAAAATAAACAATATAAATCTATTTCACAATTTTTAGTTCATGCTAGCCCCATCTGTAACAGATACAGTACTCTCCCTATTTAAAATATGAAACTTGAAATAAAAACAAATGTTTCTAAACTTTCATAAACCTTTCAACGAGAAGAAACACAAATTATCCTTAACATTTTATGCTTATAAATTATTTTCGATAAGCATGCACGAATAGGTGAATAAAATAAAGAAAGTCTGCACTTCACCTTTCTTTCTCGGCTTCCTCGCAGAACGTTGTCTAAGTTCCAATCCATTGTCCATAATAATATCACAACAAATGTTGCAAGACGTTGCATGTTATCTGTATCGCGAGCGTGAAGTGTAAACAAGTTGAGAGAACGCGATCATCTTGCAATACGCACAACGAACGCAAATAAAATTAACGACCATTTTGTATATTGAATACTAATATAACACTAAGCACGACAGTAATGACTAAATGAACATCGAATGAACAATGAACAATCGAAATAAACGCGACTTACCGAAATACAAACTCAAAATAAAATGATAATAGCAGCGAAAAACACATCCGACCCAGCCAGCGACCGGCATAATACTGCGTTGAGCACACCACGCAGGCAACCTGTAGCAGGCTGCGAGACGCAGTGCAATCATCGCCGGCGCAAGACAATACACGATACTACTGCGCGCACGCCAGAATAAAACGCGTACTGTTTGCAACAAACAAGGTCGCATGCAGGATAGCCAACTCAGGAAATGCAACTAGAAAACTTGTTTAGTGGAATTCTGCATGCAAAATCGCATTAAAAAGTTTCAATACAAACGGGCGAAAATCACTTGGATGTCCTGCTTAAAGTCAAAGTTGGGGACATAACATAGGTATTGTCACATATGCATATTGAAACTATGGCCATGTGCGAGAATTCGTATTAGAGTTATTTTTGGTTAAATATTTATTAAATCTGCAATAAATACGCGGATAATTCCAATTTACTTTGGCCAATACAAAGAAATTAAGTTTATCTTACCTGATGCTTAAAAATAACAAATTATTCTATAAAAAATATTAAAAACGCCACAACCGCAACCAACCTAGGAATTGAATCAAGTACTTTTGGCATGCGAAAACACACCAGTTCGACGTGTAGATCGACACACCGAAATTCAAACATACCGTGACAAGTGAAGATAAAAGTGTTAACTTTTACAAAAGTTTTAACCTTTTTATATGTGATAAAAAATAAACGTTTCTTGCATTAACGCATTCCATCCTCCCATGACAATATTTAATGTTTAGATAATAATCACATTATATATAAACAATTAGATTTACGACGAAGATAACTACAACACATTTTATCCATTTTATCCATTAAATATATACACAAATATGCAGTTATTAAATAACTTATATTCACATTCACATCAAAAGTCATAAAAGTATATCTCTATATTCGCCATGTTACCTTCAAACAATTCGGATTCATTGTATTTATTCCTAAATTTAATACTAAGATGGCATCTTCAAAGTGACTACTGCATAGTTCAAATTGCGAGAACTCCTAATAAATATACCTTACCTATAGCACTTAATACTCGACAACAAGTTGTAAATCCATCAACGTGTATACCAAATTGTTACCATTATATAATTCACGATCCAATCTCATCAAATCTCTCTAGTTATATAACTAAATGCATCTATCAAAATAAATTCAAATACAGAGGATTCGTTTTCCTCACAAACGACAAACCTGAACAATTCAACGTGTCTACAGAATACGCTCATGCATCCATCTTTATCACACAGAGAGGAGAACAACTGATAGTAAGCGAGTTTGCAGATTGGAATGTCACACAATTTAATGCTTTGAGTTACTGGGATATGCAAACAAATATGTTTTTAAACAATTCGTTAAAAACTCAACATTATTTTAGAGTTAAAAAGATTAATAACGCAAAACTATTCTTTCTCGGGAAGGGTAATGACATACCATTAGTTTTATATAAACGTATGTTTTTATTCATAAAGAAGTGTATTTTTAAAGCGGTAGTTGTTTATTTTAGCTCAACTCGCGGGGACACACTTTCACATCTTAGAGCAATATGCTAAACGCATAAATATAAGTTGGGATATAGGAACAGCAATACCAAATAACTACACCAATTATGTTACGCTTTTACAAATGGCGGTGATAAAATCTTCATACGCAACTACCGAAATTGGACGCAATCGAATTGCTTTTATCGTACCCAGAGAAACGTTTGTATTAATAGTATATTGAGTATCAAGTAGTTAAACGAGAGTTTTGTCACGAGATTAAGTAAGCAGTGTTTAATCTATCGAGTGTTTAACAACGTTTAGCCACGTGATGCTTACACTATTGTTTCTACTTCCACTCTATTTCCACGTTGAAGTTTTTGTATTTAAATTTTTGTATTTTAAATCTTTTGATTCCACACTACTGGAAAATGCAAGATTTAAAAAAAATCCACCCCGTGACTAAAGCCCGTGACTAAAGTACCACTTTTTTTGTCTGAAAATCTTAGAAAGACATGCGCTTTAAAGGTGGAAGTAGAAGAAATATCTTTAATATAAAATTGTAAATTACTCACAACAAGTTCGAATAACACTATTTTTCAGAGTTGTTATTCCATTGTTCAGTGTTATACAAGTATTTACTTGGCAGTTATGGACGCTGATTTTAGGATTCTACTCAACGATACTTGTATACTTTTATTTTGAAATCAAATATCTAAGACATCGAGGGATTGCTGTCATATTGCCACTAGGATTGTTTTTTATGCAACCGGTTATCACTTATGAAATTCCACGTGACATGCGATCAAGATTCGTATTGGCATTGCTTTTACTTTGTCATGTAATGTTCACCGCATTGTATGGAGACGGAATTCTCGAGCGATTATTCACAACTATGTAATACTCGTAAATCTGAAATATTTGGATTTGTATTTAATTACCTATGTTGAATTTTTATATTGTAGTTATGACAACAATATACAAACATGGGAGGATATGGATAAATTAAACTATCCAGTTTTTTGGCACAATAATCCAAATATTGTCTTTGACGATATGAATGTACATAAACGATATTTAATAGCAATATAAAAATGTAAATATTTATTTAATTTTAGCTTACAATAGAGAAGAACATTTTTGCGCGTTGGACGAATGATAGTGAAGTTCTTAAAGACAGACAAAAATCTTTTCAAATGCATTACATTTCTGATTTAGGAGGTAAAATTAGTTTTAAATTATGCAACAACTATCTAAATAATTATATCTTTTTTGTTTTTAGTTTCATCATTGCTGGCAAAGAACTATTCGATAACACAAGAAAATTTGAAGTCTTTAGACGACCTCTTTGTCACCATCTTTGATTATATAGCTCCAATAGTTGTAAGAATGCTTCATACTAATGGAATTAATGAAATGATCCAGCACTGTCGAGAATTTGGCTTGTTGTATAGATGGGAATGGGTAGCATTCAATATGGTACTTAATATATTCGACATCATGGAATACTTGGACAAAGATAAAAAAGCAGAAATAAACACACAGTTGTCCTTGGATCATTTACGCGGACTATTTATATTATTATTTTTGGGTTTGTCACTCGCCACTATTGCTTTCATATTCGAGTTGTTATTTAGCTTGGGAAGTCGTTTACAAATAGAATATCCCGTGAATGGGCTGATGCGATTCCATCTCGACTTTAGACAATAACAAAATAACAACAAATAATACACAAACAGCTACTACTACTACTACTACTGAATACGTACCAGAATTGATTATGGTGTGCTACAATTTCGTAGTGTTTGATTATAAAACCAGATGTTTACAATGAATGCAGTTTATATCAATTGATTGCACTTATAATTAAACGAGTGTTTATTAATCTAATAAAAGCATTAAATTAGAGCCACTCTATTTCAAGGTAGAAGTTTTTGTAGTTTAAATCTTCGAAATTTACTCGCACACTACATTATTTACACACTTATATTAATGGTGGGTATCTGCATAGTCTGACAGCGATCACGAAACTACGATAAACATGTGCTGCATGTCCTGCGTTAAACGCGTTGCATTTTTAGTTAAAAAGTTAACCCGAGCGCCATCTAGGGACAATTCCGAAACTATATTTAAAAATATTGCATTTAAGCTTGAAGATAAAGAAATGTCTGAAAACATTTGCATCAATTTCCTACGTTATGTTACTGGAATATTTCAAAATTCAAACCCAAATGATATCACACGTTCATTATTTAGGCATGATAAGAACTGTTACCGCAAAATAATTTCACAAGTCAAAGGAAACACTTTAATCCTACTTTTCACTCCGTTTTTAGTTTACTACGGTTTCAATCATAAAAATTTGAGAACAAATCAACAAATGGTAAATTTAAATAAAAGTTCTTTTGTATGGAAATCTGGTTTTATGGATTACACAAAGAAAATCGTTTTAAAATTTCAGAAATATGAGTTTTTAAAATATTATGTATTGTGCAAAGCAAATGTAATTTCTTGTAATTCAAATAATACAGGCCTGAAGTAAATAAATCTAAATTCGCTCTTCTGCCCTCAGCAATAGAAATAAAAACATGAGCAAACACAAACAGTTATAATAACAAGTACATAAATAGAAAAGAGCATTTTATATACGTTCCATGTTCCAGTTTAATAGATCGTGTTCGTGTAGTTTGTTGATGTGCTTAGTATAAATGCAAATACCCACAATGTTTTTGTTTTAGAAAGCACTTATTTATGTATGTATGAATATATAATATCACCTAGTACAGTGTGTATGTGTGATTGCATGTTTTATATAGAATTGTTTGAGTCTGTTTTCACCTACCATCACTTTGATCACTTGGCAGCGGCAGCGAGCTTTGCAGCTTGACGTCTTTTCACATCCCAGTTGTAAACACGAGCCATGTTTACTTCAGTTGTAGTTAATTGATCTCTAAAGCAAATAATTCCAGCATAAATTTAAGTAACAAAAATATTTTAACAAACAAATATGAATAATACCTTAAAAAGTCTAAATCATGTTCAACACATCCAAGATTTTTCGTTGCCATTTTCATATTGTTGCTTAACAGATCTTTGGCATCAGCTAGCGAATACTCAAGCATTACATTTGCACCCAGCCATAAACATACATTCTCTGTTGGAGGAATAACAGCTTTGAGAAACACTTGTTCACTAAGCAGATATTCTGTTGCAAACTCTTCCTTTTGGGTTTGCAGTTTTTCAATCATCACCAGAGACCTTTTCAGGTCTGGTATTTGAGACCTCAACCTTTTTTTCTTGGTAACCAGGTTATACTCCATACATTTGTACTTGGAGTGTTGTTCATCGAGTTTCTTTAGTACTACATCGGAGCTTTCATTGTCCTTCATGAAGGCATCGACATCGTCCTATAAATAGGCGGTGAGTAGGTGGTGAAGCATGTCCAACCAACACATGGCTATAATAGGCTAGATTTCAAGGGTTTACTTACAACAAAGTCAGCTTCGGGAATGCCGGCGTATGACTTCTTGTCGCCGAGCTCTGGGATCACCTCGGATTGCATTTTGAGATGTACAATTTACGGTTTTATTCGACTTATGATTTAGCGGCACACCGACGGACGGAACCGCTTGTTACTCTTGAAAGCGGAGTGGAAGATCTCAGGTTAAGTTTCGCTCAGTAGAACCAGTGGCGCCACCTTTGGAATAAAACGATTAACAATGAGCTAACTACAGGATCTAATAAAATGCACAAAACTATTATATGAACAAGTTACAATATAATTTTAATCAGTCAGTATCACTTGATGAGCCATATTCACCAAGTAAAGACAACCCTTGACACAATTTCTGTTTTTTACTTGGCAATTCCTCATTGTTTACCTTTTCTACACTTTGACTCACATTAACTATTTCTAAATTAGATGAATTCATTGAAATATCATCAGATACTTTCTTTTTTACAATATTTTTATCTATCAAAGTAGATGACAATGCCCTTAATGCCTTTCTCTCTTTATCAGGAGTGAATGAACTAGTGGGCAAAGCAGATTTACTAATAATACTCTTTCTCAACAGGTTAGTATTCTCTTCTATATTATTAACAGGAGTAAGCTTCTTGCTCAAAATAGCTGCCATATGTCTATCATCTTCATCCTCAGGCAGCAGTGTGATATTTAAACTAGATTTCCTCAGCAAATCAGTATCAATTGAATTTGATTGTTTTAATTCTTTGCTCTTTTTTCTAAAACTAGCCCTGAGTTTCTGATTAGCAGTGTAGCAATCTGCCCAGGCATCCTCATTCCTATTGAAAAGACTGACAAGCCTTGGTTTTGCTGCTTCAGCAGCACTAAGATCATTTGATCCATGCTCTAATTTGTACATAGAATCATCAAAGAGGCGTTTTTGAGTCTCCTTGGTTTCAGGCACTATCTGTTCATTTTGTGTTGGGTCCCAGCGGTTTTCCTGCCGGCGGGCACCTTCCAAAATCTCATAGTCTAAGTTAGCAGGATCTGTTTTAATCCGAAAGTGATTATCACACAAATGGCATTTCATTTTGAACTCATATACAGGTGTAGTGTGGTACATTCCAACTTTTGTCTTCTCTGCATTGTAACGTACGCCCATTCCGATGTGGTTTTTACAGCCTTCGCACCAGATGTTGTAAGGCATCTCGAAGCGGATGATGATGATTCCCAGATGGGCTTTTCTTCCGCGTTCTCTTAATGCATGAACACCGAGGAATTTATTGAGGCCGCCCTTCTTTGGATCGTAATCCGGGGGGTAGTATTTGTTTTGACCCTTGCGTTCACCCATTTTTAAAGTTTTAAACTTCTTCTTTTAATATGTTTCAAAATCACTATTTTGATGGAAATAACCTCTCCACCTACGTCAACTACGTTTATAAACTGAAGTTTATAACTTAACCCTAGAATTTGCAAACTTCAAAGTCATTCATTTAATCGTAACGGAAAACCAAGTGAAGAGGCTTGAAAAATGGTTTTTGGTGATATAATAGAACCTTCAACAAGAGCTCTCCTCTATGAAGAAGATGAAGTTACCCTAGAAGAAAAGTAAGTCCATCTTTAAAACATTTTATCATATTTATATACTAAATAACATTGTTAAATATTTCTAGTCTTGATTGGGAGCTTAAAAGTGATGTACCTCAACAATTTCAACATTTTTAATATCAGAAACACACTTTACCAACAAAATAATTGAATCAGTACTGCTCAATCCCAAAATGCTTGTAGCACAGACTAAAAACAAAGTGATTTCAATTTACAACTGTGGAGAATCACAATTCATTGCATTGTGCAATCTAACACCTAATTCTTCAGTTGGGAATATTACAGAGGTCATTCTTCCATGGATCAAAGCAGCAGATAAATGCTATTCATTGCTTACATTGCCTACAGCAAGTTATCAAAATAAGAATATAACTGAGAGACCACATTACATGCTAAGAATGTTGTCTACACCAAATGAAAAGGCCTTATATCCAAGATTAGAAACTCCTAACTTGGTTACAGGAGTTGGAGCTAATTGTTTGTCCTACTGTGCTTTTGATGACAAGAAATGCAGTTTATTCATTGGATACATTGATTATGCACCAATTGATTCAGTTAATTCACAGCCTTTTATTGACTTGTTAAAGCAAGTTGGCTATGATTCACATGGAAAGATCTATAAACTTAAAGAAACATTACCACCTAATAATTTATACATTTAAGTCACTTAATTTTTGATTATATTACTTAATAAATCATAGATTAAGTATCTTTTTTCACTTGTTTATTATTTACCTATTTAATTTATAAAAATAATTTATCTAACTATAATATTACCTACAATTGTTATGTCCATGCATAACTATTGGTTTCCGCCGTGTACTTTAAGCACTCGACGTGATTAACTATTTTTGTATCTGCTGAACAGAAATGTTTGAGGACCTGCGGTACTAAGCCACAATCTCGTAGATTCTCCTCGTTGAAAATTCCCATTCCAGTCGGATTTGGTGTTGGGTGATCTTTTGTATCGTCTGCGGTTTCTAATTTAGCATTTTCGGTGTTAATTCTACTAAACGACACTGTGTCGTCCAAAGTACTGAAGGTTGCAGTCATCGAATTTTCTTTCGAGTGTAACGCGCATAAATTATGAATAGAATGAGGCAGAATAGGACCTGTGATATCCAACGAGTAAAAATCTTCGTTGTCAACGTGTACCTTACTCTCGCGCACTTGTAACGGCGTAAGTGCTGCGCCGTGAAAAGCAACAGGTGCTAATAATGTCGGTGGAATGCCAGCAAATAATCCTGTAGGCGACACGGCACTTTTACAGTGTACTAGAAAACTGTAAAAACCTTGCACTTCGACACCTTGGATGAGAATTAAACTTAAATCGCTGTTGTCGATTTCACATTCGGCTTTTTGAGTGATTTTTTCCTATAATTTAATTTAAAAAACATTAACACGTAAAATATCAAAGTAAATATTTTTAAACAAAATTACCTGAGTATAATTGATTTGTTTAATATCCTCCTTATTGATCCCCATACTTTGTAACCACTTCTCATCAGCTTGTTCTTCATCCTCCTCTTGTTTCATTTCTGGTTTCTTTTTCAACTCCATTTCCATCAATGGCATTGTAAACTCTATTTCTTCCTGCCGCAATGCAGCACGAAATCCTCTTGTTGTAGGCGCAACCATCGCATGAATTTCGCTAAACCCTCCAATACCAGCAGCACGAAATAACACAGTGAAAGAATTTGCGCACGCATAGAAATAGGGACATTGTCTGGTCCTAATCAAATGAAACAACGACCGTAAACTGTCCATCCAGGCATTTTGCATGCTTTCTTTAATGGCAGCGGTTAGAGGAATCGTTGACTGCGTGGCTTTTGTATTAGAACGCGGAAATAAATTAATCCAAGGAATTGATGGTTGCTGCCAATACATACAACACTGATGGAACTTTGAATTTGAAGATGTGTCTAATGTTGTGCTGGTGCTAGTATCCAAACATCTAGTAAAACTAGTCACTCCTGATGCTTCTTCACTGATTTTCAATTTCTGACTCCAGCCAAAAGGTTTATTTGCTAGGAATCTCACCTTCCTTTTAAGGCTCCAATCAATAGGAATCCACTTCTCACCAGTGGATTTCACCTGTATTGGTTCTTCAATTTGTTTGAATACATTACTGAATGATGTTACAAGATTTTCCTTGTTTGTTTCTGAATTGCTTGGGGTTCCTAAGTGTAGCAGTTGGAATAATGTATTGTCAGATGAAATTTCTACAGGTTCTGGTTCTACAGCTTCACATTTCGAGCGTTTTGCCTCGCCTGATTTAATAAAAGGATTTTTTCTCTTCACAGAAGATAGAATGTTGTTGAAAGTTGACTTTGTGTTAGATGATTGTGTAGCAGTTGAGTTTATTCGAGCTTGTAGAGCCTTTTTCTTTTGTTTTAGCTTTTGCAGTTGCATGACTTCAGATGGCTGCCTCCATTTGAAAGTACTTTTAGATGGTTCATCACTCATGGTTCTTATTGATCTATTAGGAAACAATTATTAGTGAAAATAATTATGGCTCAGATTATGACATGGACTAACCTGTTGATATGTAGAAGAATAAAATTCCAAACCTTGAAACTTATAATTTACAATTTGCACTTAAAGCATGGTTGATGGAAACACAATTATTTAATAAGGTAATTAAATGATAGTAAATCACACATATTTGTTGTTTGTAAATTAAAAACACATTTTGTATACAATTATCTTCAATTTGTTGTACCGATTCGCACGACTTGATAATTGTTATTTTTAATATGAAAACTACTATTTCCTGTTTTTAATTTATCAGCAGTAGCAGAAATATGATTACAATTTATGTTTACTACATAAATACTACTCAGGTTACCGGTTAGCTTCCGCAATCACCAAGCCAGTCAGACTCACAGATGTTAAACCGTTGGCGAGACATTAATCCCCACTTTTCAAATGGTTGACAAATGAAAAAGATGAGGGATAACGGCTGAAATCTAACAACTAACGCCGATCAAACAGAATTAATCATAGAATAACTATGAAAAACATGCAATTTGGAATATCATGACCTGATATCAAAATGTAATGGCCTGTATTGTGCTAAAACTTAACTTTATGTGGGTGTAAATTGAAAAGTGCCAATTATTCAGCGTCCAACGCTTGAATAAACAAGAAAATTGAATAATAATCGATTGACTGATTGCCAACAGTTAAACAACATACTGTAAACTATTTTTCACTAAACTAGGTGTTATTTACTTGACAAATTAAGAAAAAAATTAATAATTACGAAAATTTTAGTAATTTTTACACCAAACTTCTTGTTTTTATCAGTAAGAAGTTAAACTACAGCAGTTTCTAGGTGTCTTTTATTTATTACAATCTTAACTATAAATAAGTACATTAAATAAATGTATTTGTAGCATTTTGTCGTCTCCTGCTCAGTGTCACATATATCCATAAAAATTACTTTACTCCACGAGTGCGAATTTATCTTGAAAGTATGTAGGATTGGACGTACGTATCGTTCATGTGTGTGTCAAGCAGCACTTATTGTTTCGTCTTCAAAGAACAAAAAGCAACCGAAACACAGTCATGAGTAATGAACGTTCACGCTACGAAATACAAAAATGTTACATCTGTCATCATAGTATTTTATGGATGGAATTGGCTATTATTATTATTATTAGTATTATTTTCATTTACCCTATTTGCAAGTGTGCAATAGTTTGCGTATATTGATTGATTAAGCGACGGCACGACGATCCTCCTGGACGAATTTCACCGCTATGGCCGGTCATAGTTAAAAACTAATCTAACCTTTAAATTAAATAATAATTTCACAGTAACTTTTAAAACGAATGACTCGATTCTCTTATTATATCACTAATACTGTCAGTACTTTGTACATCAACATTGAAGGAAATAACTAGATTAAAAAATAAGGCGCATCCTGCGCGCGCAAAGAACCAAACTCAACTGAAATACTCCAAGAACAAGAAAGAAAAACTATTGCAAACACATGAATTGCGTCTTCTTATAATCAAAGTATCGACACGCGTTGGCGCGGCGGAAATTAAACAAAAGAAAGACCGCTGTAAATATGCTGCGCGACCTCGGGGGGAGTTTATGCAACCGATTGCTCCTCGACCGACTCTGAAATCTCAGGTTTATCCTCTTCCTTTACTTCTTCGGCGACTTCGTCATCTGCCGGTTTCAACGAGGATCGCTGCTTTTCCGCCGGTTGCACCACGGCGCTTTCACTCAAGTGTTTGTTATCAGCCTCGAGCTGGGCGATGCGTTCCTTCAGCTCGACGACTTGCGCCTTCAAGTCGTCGGTTGTTTCGGCGCCTGTTTGTCGCGACAATGCATTGAGGATAAATCTGCACAAATAAATAGAATATATTGCTTGTGATTTAGGTAAATGGCAAAACATACGCAAGTGCATCCTCAGGTTTGTCAGCTTCTTCATAAAGCAACACAAGAACCTTGGTAAGAGCATCCATTACTCCTGTCTTCTCAAGATATCGCCGGAATTCTTCCCTTTTACCTTCATTTGGCTAAATTTTAAGTAAAAATATAAGTAATATGAAAATTACAATCATTTTTCATCAAATTACCTTGTAACTTGTGTTGTTTGCCATGATGGATTAGAAGATGAAAAGACTGGAAGATAATGTGATGTGAATTAGTTTAGAATGATTTGTTCACAGATAATTTTTTTTCTAGTGACAGTTTAATTTACATTTTGAAGGCAGCCTACTTGAATTATTTCTAATGATAAAACTCATTCACCTGCAATTATCGATATTTTTAGGAAGACTTACCTAATTTGTTTTGATTGTTCAACAGCGTTGTGGGATTGTGCAGAGTTGACGTTGAGCAATTAACTTAATACAAACATTACGAAAATATGGTGAGCTTGAGTGATAATCGCTTTTTTGCGTACGGCGAATAGAATGCTACGGAACGGATGCTACGTGAAGTCGTTAGAGGTTATAATCGCAGTGGGGAATTCTAAAAAGTTACCAACAGTAACCTTTGAAATTACGAGTAAATTTTAAGGATATTGACATTCTAAATTACATTTTAATATTCTAAATATATAAATAAAGTATATAATTGATTGTTTTTTCTATGTTTAATATAGCAAGAAGATTGCAAAATTTTTTGAAAATTTGTGTCGAAAAAAAATCCCTAGATCGCGTTTCTTGGCCTGACGGTTGTAAACGTCACGGATTTCATCAGCAAAACGCGCCTTTTGGATTCAACGCTTGTTAGAAATGGCGTCCGAAGGTAGCGGTGTTACTACTGGCCAGCCAAATTTACATAAACAAGACTTATCAAAGCTCGTGAGTACCTTTAATTTTTCAATTAAAGATAGTGTATATGAAGATGTTTTTTATTTATCGCTGTTTTGCGATAAATTTTAATCTAACCTCAATTTATCGCAACATGTTATATCTTGGACAACTGGAAGGGTTGCCTATTATACAGCTTTTACCCGGCAAAATGATTGCGTTTAGTTTTTGTATTAAATATTATTTTGCAAATATTTCTTTTAATTATATATATATATTATATAAGTATATTTTACTAAATTTTGAATTGTTTTAAGGATGTGAGCAAATTAACGGCCCTCTCACCGGAGGTAATCAGCCGACAAGCGACAATTAATATTGGCACAATTGGCCATGTAGCTCACGGCAAGTCCACAGTGGTGAAAGCCATCTCCGGCGTCCAGACTGTACGCTTCAAGAACGAACTGGAGAGAAACATCACCATCAAACTGGGTAAGCGCCGCTAAACTCTAGTATAACTATGTATGCTTCCATTTGTTTGAGACAGTGGGTTTCTGTGATCTGTTCACATCAAACCACCAACCCCATTCTGACTAATTAAACAACCAGCTCAGCCACAATGTAGTCGACACTCTCTCATAGCTATGTGTAGATAACTGATGATGGTTCTGATGAGAAAATTCTAATGCAATAAACATGTATTGCAGAACGGTTGAAGTTTGATGTGAACGGAAGAGTTATATTGCCACAGGAGCTCACATCTCAAGGGATTACATCGTCCGCCAGAGTAGTAAGAAAGAACAAGCGGCGGCAACAGTATTACCCGCATCGGACGCGCGGCGTTACATTCGATGATTATTTGGTGAACAAACAACGCAAACGTAAACGGACAAGTAAAGAAAATTATCCCGAACGTGCGGAGAAACAGCCACGTATTGAGAACGCTTCAGGGATAAAATTACGATCACAATGTCCACCCAATGAACAAATTGTAAACCATAGCATAAATGATAGCAATCAATCTCTATCCGACAAATCTCTGAGCGAAAAAGAGACGCAAACCGATTTAATGGAGGGAATCAAGACGGAAAAGTTCGAATTTGAAATTCACAGATGCCTGAAAGAAATGATTAATTTACCGATTGGGTATTTTATGAATCAGCAAACGAATGAACGCCATACAGATCTGAAACAAATGGTGCTGCGTGAGAGGGATACGAATATTACATCACCGACTCAGTGGTATCCAGAGTCAATTTACAAATTAAGTAGACGCAAGTTATCGAAACAAAAGAATGATTATTGTCTGACTGACGATGAAAGTGAGGACGAGTCTATGCCAAGTAAAGATACGCCTAAGAAGCGGACTTTAAGAATCAGCGAGAACAACAAAGAGAACGTACAGAAAGAAAATCAAAAAAATCAACCTGAAAAATTGCGCGAGCGTAGAACTATTGGTGTATTGTCAGAAATTGAAAATCAGAAGGAAGGGCCACGTCCCCGTCGGTCTTGCTCTGCGAATATTGATTACAAAAAAACTAGATTAATGTATCCACAGGAATCGCAAGTTTTGCATAAGCAATCTAAACCAAAACAAAAACCGCTGGGAACAAAGAATATTTTTGTCAATGATAAAATTGAAGATCTGACATTAATCGACACCGAGGTGATTACGAGCAAGTTACATTTGAATATCGGTAGTTCTATGGAAAAGATGTGGAACAACATTGAGAATAATGTATACACCGTCAATGAAACCACCGAGTTAACTCAGAAGTTCAACGGTGTAGAATTATGCATTTTGTTGCATTCTCGTAAGACTGATGACACGGTAATACCCAATCCAGTGGCAAAAGCATTCTACGAAGTGGAGGCTATCGTTGGTATCCGCATGACGTTCAATAGCGAAGAATACCTCGTCAAATGGGTGGGTTATCCTTCTGAGAGTAACACATGGGAGCCGTATTCTCATCTCACTGGTAGTTCGGAGGCATTGTCGGAGTTTTTTGATTTGGTTCTGGAGCATATTGCATGGGATGCGCTTGTTGTCAAGTTTGGCTTGAATGCTGATATACCAGACGCGACACTCTCGCAATTATTACCACCGGGTGGTTTTGCAAAGCTTGAGAGTAACAAAACTCACATACAGCGTCAGTTGATGTTATACTATGCAAAACAACCGAAGTCCACGAAGATCAAGATGCTACATCATGCGATGTCTATATCTCTACACTACGAGTTGATTCTGCGCCGGAAACGACAGCAGAGAATGATTAAAAACTTTGAGGCGAATATAAACAATTCGCGTGGTAATAATATGTGGATAAAAGTGCAGAATGATGTTGATTTGACAACGCCTCCTGCGGATTTTATCTACGTGACTGATTATGTTATGTCGGAGGATATAAATGTTGACACTCAACAACCGCCTGGTTGTAGTTGTGTGGATTTGTGTCCGCAGGGTAAAGGACGCGGATGTTGCAGTAAACGCGAGAATAATGTATTTGCTTACACGCTTGCAAGGCGTATTCGAATAGCGCAAGGATTTCCTATCTATGAATGCAACAAGTCGTGCAAATGCTCAATGAAGTGCCGCAACCGTGTTGTACAACATGGCTGCCAGGTGAAGTTGGCGATTTTTCGCACTTCGAATGAATGCGGCTGGGGTGTTAAGGCGCTGCAGAGCATCAGAAAAGGAGAATTTGTTTGCCAATACGTCGGTGAAGTAATCACGCATGAAGAGGCCGAAGCACGTGGGCAAGTTTACGACAGTAATGGAATGACGTATCTCTTTGATTTGGATTTTGACTCGCCTGATAATTTGTACACTGTGGATGCTGCCATCTATGGCAATGTGTCGCACTTCATCAATCACTCTTGTGATCCGAATCTGGGCGTCTGGGCCGTGTGGATTGATTGCATGGATCGCAATCTTCCGAATTTGGCATTGTTTGCACTGCGGGATATCAAGAAGAATGAAGAGTTGACTTTTGACTATATGTGTGACAACGGTGGCGGTAATAAACATTCGCCGGTCGCTTCGCCGGAGAATAAATCCAAAGTGCCGCACAAAGCGCTTTGTCGATGCAACTCGTACAACTGCCGGCGAACTCTCTTTTAGTTCATCAATTTTATCTATTAACTATCAACTTGCAGTTTATATTTTTATATGGAACGTATTTCTAGATTTAGATAGTTTTTGTAATACCATTCTTGTTACTAAGTACTGAATATTAAACAATTCGCAGACATTTGGTTGTTACTGATGCTTGATTGCAGGCTATGCGAATGCGAAAATCTACAAATGCGACAATGAAAAGTGCCCGCGGCCTGCCAGTTACATTTCCGGCGGGTCGTCGAAAGACGATTCTTTCCCATGCCTACGTCCTGCTTGTTCTGGTAGATTCCAGCTGGTGCGACATGTGAGTTTTGTCGATTGCCCCGGGCACGACATCCTTATGGCTACCATGTTGAACGGCGCAGCTGTTATGGATGCAGCGTTATTGCTAATTGCAGGTATTTTTCAATCACTAATAAAATATACAATTGTTTATATGTGGTTGATTTCTTTAGGAAATGAACCTTGTCCACAACCGCAAACCAGCGAGCACTTGGCCGCCATTGAGATTATGAAGCTGAAGCACATCGTCATTCTGCAGAATAAGATCGATTTGGTGAAAGAGTTGCAAGCGAAGGAGCAGCATGAGCAGATTGTTAAATTCGTGCAGGGTACCGTTGCTGAAGGTGCGCCGATAATTCCGATTTCTGCACAGTTGAAGTACAACATTGAGGTGTTGTGCGAATACATCACCAAGAAGATTCCCGTGCCTGTTCGTGACTTTGCATCCGAACCTCATTTGATTGTTATTCGGTCTTTTGATGTCAACAAACCTGGATGTGAGGTTAACGACTTGAAGGGCGGTGTTGCTGGTGGAAGTATCCTGCGTGGTGTGCTGAAAGTTGGTCAAGAAATCGAGGTATAATTCAAAAAATTAACCTAAAATATTTTTAACATAAATTAATTTAATATTTAGGTGCGTCCTGGTTTGGTGAGCAAGGATTCCGAGGGTAAGCTGACGTGTCGACCGATTTTCTCGCGTATTGTCTCACTGTACACCGAACAAAACGAGTTGCAATTCGCCGTGCCCGGTGGTCTTATTGGTGTAGGTACCAAGATTGAACCTACGCTGTGTCGTGCGGATCGTCTGGTCGGCCAGGTACTAGGCGCTGTGGGTGCTTTACCTAACATTTTCATTGAATTGGAAGTGAGTTACTACTTGCTCAAGCGTTTGCTTGGTGTGCGTATTGAAGGCGATAAGAAGGCTGCCAAAGTGCAGAAGCTGAGCAAGAACGAAGTATTATTAGTAAACATTGGTTCGTTGAGCACTGGTGGAAAGGTGTTGGCCACGCGTGCTGATTTAGTCAAGATTGCGCTGACGAATCCGGTGTGCACCGAGGTCGGGGAGAAGATCGCGCTGAGTCGACGTGTGGAGAAGCATTGGCGCTTGATCGGTTGGGGACAGATCCGCGGAGGGGAGACCATCGATCCAGTCAAGTAGAAGGGCACCTGCGTTTCTTTTTGCATTAGAACACTTTAGTTACATTTTTATACAAATCACAGGTTCTATATTAAGTCGATATTTAGTTGATTGTTGATTTCTTTTATGCGTTATAACAACTTTTGCGATTGGTTTGTGTTTGTAAGGAAAAGTGTTTTAAGCAGAGAAATAAACATTGTAAAAATATGAAATTCTTTGAAATTATTTATGTACATTACAAATATTCTCAGACCTACCGAAAATACCTATAAAATTTCATCAAATGGATTAAATATTTGAGGTTAAGTTCTCTTGAGAGAAGAACCCTGAGACCTGCGACAGTACTGCTGGAGGCCTCAGACACGACTGAGCACGATGCGAAGTGCGCGCTGCCTATTATACCTGCGCCTGACCCGCAAAGAAGAGTGGGGGTAGGAACACCGCCTCCACCCGGTGTACCCCCACTACTTTTTGCGGGTCGTGTGCAAAACCGCAGGTATAAAAGGCCAGCGCACAGTGCGCTCAGTCGTGCCTAAGTCGTCCAGCAGCCTAGTCGCATCCTTCTAAATAACCCCTCCCTCCACCACTTTCTCTTCAAATCACGCGGGTGTTAAATTACTTACAGGATTATCAGTAGTCTTGTCATCGTCCATCTTCTCTTCAAGTGTAACTGGTTCCAAACTCTTCAAAAGCATTGTATTAGCATTCCCACTCACATTCTTCTTCTCCAGCTGTTTCATCACATGGGTTCCATTGTTTCAGGTTAAGAAGGCGCATGACTGAACATAACCTCTGTGCGCCGTTCTTTTAGTTCTAACAGAGCATTTCGGTTTAACAAAAGAGATCAGGCAATTTGTTTATCAAAAGGTACTGTATAGAAATTAGAAATTAATATATTGTAAACAACTGAAATTTGTTACTGTATATGTTGTTTTCTTTTTAAATTGTTTTTGTTTATATATATTTACGTTATCAAAAAAGCATAACTTCTGTCGATCTCCGCGCCACCTTGATGTGGTATTCGCAAATTCTTTAATTTTATTAGCATAGCATAGAGCAAATAAAAGAATATAGACAAATCTTTGGATATAATTATTGAAATAATCTTACAGAGCTTCACCAATCCAACTAATAACATTTAAAAAACTGATTGTACAGTTTTTATTGTACTCTTTGCAACTACGTTCCCTCCCTTTAACCTCCGCCAGTTCATATTCGTTAGTAATATTATCTTTTGACGATGATGGTCTAAAATAACCAAATATAAATAAACAATTGTCAATGTACATAATCCTTACGTGAATATAATGTGCAATATATCCCCAAGCACTCCATTATGCTGAACAGTTTCCTCGGAAGCTTCACAAATCGTGCGTAACAAACAATTTTTACCCGGAAAACCATACCTTACAAAATGATTTAATAATAAAGTATGCAACCAATACTACATCAAAAAACAAACATAATTCTTACTTACATTTTCATTTTGGATTCGATAGCATCATAAACAAACCGTCGATCAAACATTTTCGCTTTCCTCTCGATCAATGGCGGATATTCATACTCTACCACTTCATTAGGCAATGCATAGTTAGCTTCAAAATTATACGCCATAAATGTACTATGCGAACGTTCCAAAGGCAAAGCTATAGCTAAAAAAAGCTAAAACAAAAATAACACAATAAAAAAAAACAAAAATTTTATATTGATTACTTACGCCCATACCACTACCACTAGGAAAATGAAACTTCCAATTTTCGCTGAGTAAACTCCCCGCCGAGTTAACATAATAATCGCATGCAATCACCAGCAATATCAATCCAATTCTGCTAAAACGAAACGTTTTACATTGACAATATCAATCCAATCAATCAACACAAATAAAAATTATTCCATCCGAAAAACTCACAGCATTATTCTATGCATGACGGGCATTATTCTTGCTTTAGCACAAATTACTCTAGTTGTCTACAGGCCACTATAGCACATTTGTCTTTAATCTATCGAAACAATCTATTGTTCCTACTTTAGTGTAAAACGACACTAATAAATAACGGAACACCGCCGCCATTACATAATGTAATTTACGTTTGTTCTGGCAGAGTTATTAATGAAGATAATTGCTATTGTCTACAATAGATAGCATATTTTAATTACGTTCGAGTAAGTTGCAAATGTAATACTTACACAAAACGTGTTAAAATTTAATTTCATCAACATAATTAAAGTACGCATATTTGTTGTTTGTAATTTGTGTGGTTTATCAAAGTGGTTGTTACCCCAGCGTATCAGACAATACGAAAATGAATAATTGAGTTTGAACGTACATAAATGACCACACGTCAATCATACACTCATAATCATAAGCTAAATAATTATACACATGTTTGCTGAGCATCGAAGTTCATTTAATTAAAAAAATATTTTACTTTACTGCTAGTTCCAGTACCATTCAAGTAGTAATACTTTGCTGGACATAAAACTTAAAAAATGATTAAAATTAATTTATCTACATTAAAACCTCTGCATATCATCGGTAAATATTTGGGAATATGGCCGTCATTTGATACAAGCACAATGGAAGTATGCAATTGTTATTTTTGGTACGGTGTGCTAATGCTGATCATACTAATTTCTCAACAAATATACATGATCCTGGGAAGAGTCACCATCTTGGATCAGATAGATAACTCTGTGTTTATTACTATGTTACTTGCTGATGTTACCACAACAGCTACAAACATTTCTGCAATCGTAAACATTAATTTTCTTCAAGCGAAGAGATTGCAAACGTTTTTGCAGGAAATACATAGCCTAGAATCTACTTTTTGTAATATCCGAAAGGACGAATGCGGTGAACGTCGTAGGTTTTACATTGAACTCATCACCGGACATATTGTGATTGCTGCTTATATGATTTACAATACTTGGCAATGGACAGGAGTAATCGGATGGCAAATGAGTCAATATTCATTAATGCATGATCTGCAATTTTATCATATACTTATCATGGTGCTCCTGATACGTAACTACGTGCTTTTAATCAAGTATAAAATTGAAACTTTAAATTTCATGTTAGAAAACTGTGGACCAAATAAATACAATCAAGAATGGAATTTAGACTCGCTTAGTAAATTATACACAAAAGTTTCGAATGTTATTGATGGATTTAATGAGATTTTCGGGTGGAATCTGATGGTTTTACAAGTTCAACTCATAGCGAATTTATTGGGACCTTTGAATTTAGCATTAGTTTATGGCGGTGCTACTTTTATGGGTAAACAAATGGATTTTAATTTGTATATACTTTGTTTCATCTGGTTTATCACTCCATTGGTAAAATATTTAATAAAATAAATAAATAAATATTTATTTAAAATATTTTAGATGAATATGTTAACCGTGATATCTGCATGTGATAAAACCAAACGTGAAGCTGCAAAAGTCCCAAAAATCTGCTACAATTTAATCTCTGACAGCACCGATGAAGAGTACATCAAAAAAGTCAAGTCTCTGGCATTGCAAGGCGAACTGCAAAAACCAGAATTCAGCGCAGCAGGATTTTTAACATTCGATTATTCCTTGGTGTTTCCAACAATGACGTCGATTCTATCTTACTTTATTGTGTTGATACAATTTCGCTCCTAATCTACTCGTAATGAAAACAATAATTAGTTAATTGGTTAACGAGTTAATATCTACTAATGTATTTACTTGTTTATCTGACCTGGAATGGAGACGCATACAGTTACTAAACGCACATAACCTCATTTCAACATGACATCTAAGCTGGTATCAAACAAAACCTATAAGATTTTATATACTTTTGCCAGATATCTTGGTTTATTCCCGAATATAAATCTGACAACAGGCAAAGAAGATAAAAATATATTTTGTGTTTTATTGAATATCATAATGATATTAATCATTTATGTGTACATAGCATATTCAAGACATTGTATATTTTACGGTGAAATGGCCCCGACTGCTTATTATGGTATCATATTATCGGATATGTCGATTATGACACAGAATATTCATGGAATTGTGAAAGCTTATTCATCACGTAAACGTATTCTACGTATAATTCTTCATTTTGAAAAATTATCGAAAATTTTTGAAAATGTCAACTCGCCGTTTATAACAAAAATATCTACAAAATTCACTAACAGATATGTTATGGAATTGATATTATCAAATGTATGTTGTGTGATTTATATGTTATTGAATTTTTATGAATGGAGGCAATTTTTGGGACTTGAAGTAGCTGTTATTGTTATTCTTAGAGATTGTTTGTGTTACCATATGTTGATATTTGCATTATTAATACAACATCACATTAATTTGATTAGATATAATGTGATTTTATTAAAATTCGTCTTGAGGAATAAAATCAACGAAAAAAATCATGAATCTAGTAGTAATGAATGGACAGTTGAAAAAGTACAATCTGCATTTGGTGTTATCTACGAGATAATCGAAGATTTTAATGAAATTTATGGATTTGCCATTGCTGAGAACTTCGTTAATATTATACTGAATACAATTATTCCTATAAATTTAATGCTGCTCTATGGAAATGGATCAAAAGAACTTTTAGGAATCAAGTTTGATTCTGTTTTGATTATTGTGTCTATAATGTGGATGTCATTCCCTATGGTACGTATAACGTATGCAACCCAATTTACACAAATAGTGAATAACTCAAAATATTTCCAGATTCTTGGTATAACGTTTTCAGCAGCATGCCAACAAGCAATAGATGAAATAAAAGAAATACCAAAAATATGTTTCATCCTCGGACGGAATGTAGACATCAAAACAAAAGAACAACTACACGAATTTGCATCACAGGTGGATATGTTAAATCCACAATTCAACGCAGCTGGATTTTTCGTTGTTAATTGCGGTGTTTTTTCAAATATGTTCACGGCTGTCATCAGTTACATCATTGTGTTGATCCAATTCAATGGTCTAGCTTAAAATGCACAATATTTGTTTGTTTAAACATTAAACACTAGGCATTTTATAATAATTACTTAGATCCTATCGTCTTACCTTCATCAAGTTAATACAATATGACTAATAATAATTGCATCTGTAATTAGTTAGAGTTAGTATCATTACTAATGTGAATTCACTGTAACACACTAACCTAGAAAATAAACTTTCATTCATTGTGGTTATAATCAAGCTTTAACAATGTCATTGAAAATTGTCACAATAAAACCTATTGTATCCTGTATAACATCACAAAATATCTTGGATTATTTCCAAATATAAATTTAGCATCATCCGAATTGAATAAAAATGTTTTTTATTTAATTTTAAATATTTTGATCACTTTGAGTGTTTATGGTTATATTGCATACTCACGACATCAAATATTTTACAATGATATGGTCCCAACCGCTTATTTTGGTTTTATGATATCAGATTTGTTGATAATGGCACAAAATCTTCACGGAATTATTAAAGCCTATACAACTCGTAAAGATATCCTACGTTTTATGTTAAACTTTCAAAAATTATCAAATCTATTCAAAAACATCAACTCACCAGTGATTCAAAAACAAACCACAACGTTTACAAGAAGATATTATATCGAAATAATATTAGCTAATGTTTTATATGTAATATATTTTTTTCTGAATGCATATGAATGGCGACACATGCTTGGATGTGAAGTTGTCATCATTGTAATACTCAAAGATATAATGCATTATTATATCATGATGTTCGCCATATTAATCCGGCATTACATAAATATGATAAGATACAATATAATCCTATTAAAATTTGTCTTGAAAAATATGATGAGTTATGAAAATCATGAATTTCGACGATGGGAATGGTCCGTTGAGAAAATACAAAGCACATTTGGTTTAATCCACGAGACAATTGAAGATTTTAATAAATTATATGGTTGTGCACTTGCAGAATATTTCCTTAACGTTATAATAAACATTATCGTGCCTATAAATTTAATTTTATTATATGGTAATGGAAATAAAGAGTTATTAGGTATTAGATTTGATTCAGTGTTGATTCTTGTATCAGCAATGTGGATGGCGTTCCCATTGGTAGGTTATACTAATCATAACCTCAAACATAACCTTATTTATTAACTACTGTTTATATTTTAGGGTCTTGGTATGGCATTCCTATCAGCATGTCAGGATACAATCGATGAAATAACAGAAATACCAAAAATATGTTTCGACTTAGGAAGATTAGTAAACCCCAGGACAAAAGAACAATTACATGAATTTGCATCGCAGGTGGATATATTAAACCCACAATTTAACGCGGCTGGGTTTTTCGTGGTTAATTTTAGTGCATTCCCTAATGTATTCACTGCGATAATAAGCTATATCATTGTATTGATTCAGTTTAATGGTTTAACCTAACTTTATCATGCTTAATGAGTATTAATTATAATTATGTTATCGAATGTGTTTGTTTACTCTTGTCTGACTCCACTAATATGAAATGAAATTTTCATTTTCATTCATTACACACATAACCTTAAACCTTAAACCTTCAACAATGTCTCATCAACTAATAACTTTAAAAACTTATAATTTTTTATATTCAATAGCAAAATTACTTGGCGTATTGCCAAATATAAACATATCAACATTCAAAATAACTCCAAATACATTTTGTATGATAATAAACCCTTTAATCATGGTGATTATTTATGGTTATGTTGCCTACTCAAGACATCAAATATTCTACGGTGAAATGGTTCCAACTGCATACTTTGGTTACATTCTCGCAGATATTTTGATTATGTTTCAAAATATCCACAATATTATCAAAACTTATTCTTCACGCAACGAAATAAGACGTTTATTCCTTCGTTTTGATAAGTTGACCAACACATTCAAAGATCTCACCTCTCCATCTCTAAAAAAACTTTCTACAAAGTTTAAAAGAATGTATTACATTGAAATGATCGCCGCGCATACTTTATGCGTGCTATATTTTTTATTAAATTATTACGAATGGAGAGAATTTTTGGGTTTCGAAGTGGCGATTGTTGTGATGTTTAAAGATGCATTACACTATCATATGTTAATTTCTGGTACATTAGTACGACACTACGTACATTTGATACAATATAACGTGATAATATTAAAAATTGTCATAAAGAATATGATATATTACAAAACGCAAGATTCGCGAAAAGTATTATGGACTGTGGATAAAATGCAAACGACTTTTGACACAATCACACAAATAATTGATGATTTTAATAAAATTTACGGAAGTGCAATCGCTGAATATTTTATTAATGTTATATTAAATATTATAATTCCTATAAATTTAATTTTACTCTATGGAAGTGGCAGTAGGGAACTTTTAGGGATAAAATTCGACTCGGTTTTGACATTGTCATGTTTAATGTGGATGTGTTTTCCGTTAGGACTGGGAATTACATTTCTAACAGCATGTCAAAGAGCAATACATGAAATCAAAGAAATACCGAAATTATGTTTTTATCTGAGTCGTCATGTTGACATCAGAACAAAACTGGAATTACACGAATTTGCTTCGCAGGTGACAATTTTAAATCCACAATTTGACGCTGGGGATTTTTCATTGTAAATTACAATGTTTTAACATCGATATGCACTGCGATTATTAGCTATATTATTATCTTGATACAATTCAATAATTTGTCTTAATTTTTTTTGAACATTTGCCTAATTGTCGTTTTGTTTTTGTCTGATAACTTAATGAATATTTAAGCTAATTAAATACAATCTACTAATGTGTTTGCGCATAATTATTACCCACTTACATATTACATATTTTCATATTTAGTATGTGAACTGAAACCTTCAACAATGTCAGCTAAAATAATATCAATAAAACTCTTCAAAGTTCTTTATACACTCGCGAAATATATCGGATTATTCCCGAATATAAATTTTCAAGATTTCACGGTTGATAATAATATAATTTATATGATAATAAATATTATTATTATAGTGTTTGTTTCGTGTTATGTGGCTTATTCAAGATATGAAATATTTTATAGTAAAATGGTCCCGACTGCGTATTTTGGTTTCGCTTTATCAGACGTTATACTTATGATACAAAACGTTAAAAGTGTTATTAATACGTATACATCAAGACACAATATTCTAAACTTAATAATACGCTGTGAAAGTTTATCGAAAAAGTTTTCAAGTGTCAACTTCAACGCTGCAGTGATAAATAAAATTTCAAACAGATTTAAAACACAATATTATTTAGAATTAATATGTGCACATATTATGTACGTTGTTTATTTTACACTAAATTTTTATGTGTGGGGACGCGCGTTGGGTTTTGAAGTTGGGCTTATTGTGTTCCTGAGAGATGCTTTACACTATCCAACGATGATTTCCGCAGTGCTAATAAGACATAACATTGGTTTGATTAAATATAATGTGATTTTATTAAAATTTGTCTTGAGAGATATGAATTGTGGAAAACACATTGAAACAAGTTTTACTTGGTCTGTGGGTAAAATACGAACAACTTTTGGTATAATTTACGAATTAATTGAAGATTTCAATCGAATTTATGGATTTAATATTGTGCAACACTTTGTTAATATTATATTTAGTATTATCATAGCGATTAATTTAACGTTGCTCTATGGGAATGGAAGTAAAGAACTTTTGGGAATCAAATTTGATTCGGTTTTGATTCTGGTGTGCATAATGTGGATGTCACTTCCAATGGTATGTAATGTATGCAACCCAAATTACTTATTCAATTATATTTATTACTAGCTTTTGCCTGTGACTTCGTCCCGGTAGTTTTTAATAAAAATGTAATTCGTTTTACTCTCTTGTTCTAGACATAGTATGTGTCAATCCTATCAATAAAATTCGCAATTTTATTTTAAAGAAATTAATTATATAAAGAATAGCTAATAATGCACTTCAGCGCGCCATCTCAGATTCAACTATTTAACTAAAACTATGATTGATTCTCAATGCCAACTTTTATCCAATAGAAAAGGGCTGTTTTTAGGGTTTTCTCGGCAATTATTCGAATTTTTCTCGCCGTAAAACCATCCATTGGACTTTAACGAACATTTTAAAAAAAGAATTGGTCAAATTGGTCAAGGCGTTGATGAATTATGCGCTTACCAACACATTTTGCGATTTATTTTTATATTACAGAAGATATTTATACATAACTAGCTATTTAAAATATTTATTTCAGGGCCATGGATTATCATTCC